TTGTTGGAGGTCAATCACTGTGAAGATCCCCATACGGTGATGAAGCCGTGATTATATTGCTAAACTAAATGTTTTCTTCCATTTTTTCCATAGAACTTTTTGACTTCGAAATGGGATTTGTAAAAGATGTTAAGTTCTAAGTCTGAAGTTCGGAAACTCAGGAAACTGGTGAGTATAATGTAATTCAGAAATTGAGAATAGTCATTCACTCTGCTTAGATTCACCTTGTCTTGAAATAGTAGTACTGTTTCTAGTTTCTCAAAAAAATTTTTGAGAGAAATAACCTCGAGTTATTTGTAACTTAACGTGTGAGACTGCACACCAAGCCCTATAAGCGACGGCACCCTTACTGGTAACTTTCCAGTAAAAACTTTCTAGCCTAAGAAATCGTAGAAATGTGTTCTATTGACTAACATGTGATCAGCAAAAACAAAAGAGACAAGGAAACAAGCAGAATTCACTGTAAATGAGAAGCTTCTAATTTTGATGTTCGTCAGTTAGTGTGTTTAGTGTGCACTAGGCATATTAAGTTACGAATGACTTGACGATACATAAGATTGAATTCAATATGCGTGTACTACTAAACAAAATTTCAAATTGGAAAACTCAGAGTGACAATGGCAGTACATTTTAAAAACAAAACTGGAAATAAGCAAACTTCATTCTGCTCAATGTGTCTTGGATTCTGAACAATTAGGTGTAATTTCTGAATTTTCGAGATTTCAAAAATTGAAGTTTATGGTATCAAATCCCAGGTTCCACTATGCAGCTCACTCTAGAAATTTGAAAGTGTTGGGACATAACTTTTACCTTCATCCGAAGTGCCTGGTTACGAAAACCTCTCTTGTACCTTAGTTTATTTTATTCAGTTGTGGGTGCACCTGCCAGCTGACCAGGCATGTCCAAAGGTGTGATGTCATCTAAAGGAATATCATCCAAATATCGATTAGTTTGGAGAAACTGTGATTTTTGATTATTGCTGGTGTGATCCGCAATAGGTAGGAGAAATGCGAGACGGTCAGCAAGATCTTGCGATCCCTTCGGCTGTCATCAACTAGAGCTCTCTTTTAATGCTAAAATTCTATGTCTTCAAAATAGTACCAGATAAAGTGCATCAACTAAATAGCTGTCTGAAGTTACCACTTGCAGAGTTTGGCGGGTTTCGCTCGAAATTTGGACGAAATACTCACGAATTTGTTATCAACTGAACTCTTATGGGTTTTTGACCTTCAAAATTTTTCTTTTGAATTGATTACAAAATAGTAAGAGTAAGCAGCATGAGCGACTACCTATAAAAGCTTCTTCGAAACTTCATATATTTCTAGAACGTTATAAGAACAAATATGCCCTATTTAGTACTTATCTGGCAATAAAAATCGCGCCTCTTGTCATAGATCCGGAGAAATGGCTGATTTGAAATTTCAAAATGGAGATCAGCAGATCAACAAGTTCAACAGTTTGGCGGGTTTCGCTCGAAATTTGGACGAAATACTCACGAATTTGCTATCAACTGAACTCTTATGGGTTTTTGACCTTCAAAATTTTTCTTTTGAACTGATTACAAAATAGTAAGAGTAAGCAGCATGAGCGACTACCTATAATTGGACATCATCGTGTCTTACTGCCTGGAATATGAGTCATTTAAGGGTATTTTTCAAATTTCAACGAATTTCAAAAATTGAAGTTCATGATTTCGAAATTCAAGTTCATTGGGTGCTGCTTTTGGCGAGTGAAGCTCAACGTGCTCTTAGTACTGCATTTTGCTACCATGCATGTTATGATAGCAAAAATCGATATTGATAGGTCACGGCAGCCAAGGGCCAAGGGCCGGAGCCAGCCTAGCTAATAATGCCAGTATGAGGGACCAATAAAATCGGAAACCAAAAATTTGAGAATTTAGGTTTTTAAACATATCATTGGATAGCTTGCGATGAACTGATTTCAAATATGTTGTTCAGAATTTAGTACAATTACTTTGAAGATCGTTATCAGCTTATCAGTGCAAAAAAGGGGGCAAAAAGATTTAAAACGTGTAATTCACTAAAAAATTGAGATTTTCAAACTTTTAAACACATTGGCGGATAGCTCGAGGGACACTGATGACAACTTTGTAAACAAGATTATTGTGGGATAAATATGAAAGCAGTTATAAAAATGCGGCACTTCCGACGCAAAAACGCGTTTATTGTGCCCTGCGGCACATGAAAAAATTGACTTTTTCAGATTTTGAATATACTGTCGGATAGACCAATCAGTGCTGAATCCGAATATAACAAGGAAAATTAGAAAGAGTAGTTTTGTGGAAAGTTATTCAAATGCGGCTCTTTCGACGTAATAACGCGATTATTGCGCCGTGGGGCACAAAAAAATTGTGAATTTTTCAATTTTCAAATATACTATCGGATGCATCAGACAGCGCTGGTTCCAAATATTTTAATCAGAGCTCGATAGGAGTAACCTGAAAGAAGTTATAGCAATGCGGCACTTCCGGCGCTTTATTGCGTTTAAAACGCAGTTTTGAAAAGCGGCACTGCCAGTGCTATAACTTTTAGCTGCCAACAGAGGAATATTGCGAGCTTTTCTCGGTTTTCCTAGTATGACAGATTGCATGTCTAATCCCAGTAGAACTCTCTACTTCACGTCAATTGTGCATTTGCATTCGAACACTTTCACGTTCCCGCCTATCGCTTCTTTCAAGCACTTTCACCTTGTACTATCCAGAGAGACGACGATATAGCGTATAATTCACAAAAAAGGAAGGGCTGTCAAGATTTAAAATTTGTGGAAGATTTGACAGACAAAATATTGCACAAGACAAAAATTCCAAAAAACACACCACCTTTCGCCTTTTGCCCATGAATCTGAAACTCTGAATAAAAAAATTGAAACCATAATTAAAGGCGCAAATGTAAATACCCTCATACTAGAGTACCGCAACTTTTTTTGCGCAAAGTAAGAAATGTCAGAAACTATGACACCCCGCGATCACTGAACAGTGTTGTAGGATTATCGAAGACCCGGAAGATGACCAGGATGGGACACTTAATCCAGGAACCCCCAAAGGAGAATATACAGTATCAGAATACAATGAAGTGCTAGTCAATCTCATGAATTATCTGTTTCATGATATTCTAGCAGATGATAATCGGGTAACGTCCCCTTTCTTTCACTGATGCGGATATGAAATTAATTCAGCAGTAAATTTCAGAAAATTCTCTACTATAAATTGCCCGAGAACAAACACTACAAGGCATACATCGAGCAGGCAAAAAACCTGCGCGTTGTCAAAGTTTCCGAGGCTTCGCCACAAGAAAGGCTAGCATTCTTCATGAATGTTTTCAATATGTTGTGGATTCATACAACACAGATCAATGGAGCCCCGCGAAATATTTGGGAACGAAGAAAGGTGATGAAAAATAGATGAGAGGTTCACAAATTGAAAGCAAAACAGCAACGTAGGATTTTAGCTGATGAACTGCAGCTATTACCAAATAGAAAACCACAAATATGCTCCACATTCTATCTTGAACGGTATTCTTCGATCTAATCGCAAAGGATTGGCAGCTCTTTGGAAGCCATTTGGAAAGAAAGACCAGAGATTACCAGTGAGTCAACAAGCAAATCCTCTTAAAAACGATCAAAGGCTGAGCAGAAGACAAAGAAAACTACAACCAAAAACTTCATTTTTCAAAAGGAAAATTTTAAAATTTTGAACGAAACTTACAAGGGAGGTGTTTTCGGTCAAAGTGGCCTTTTAGAATGGAATTGATACGACTATAAAGAGCATCAAACGCTGATTCCAAATCTGTCTCCTTTATCTGCCGAGCCCCCCCTAGACGTTGAGTTATGAGCGTTTTTTTAGTTGAGAAATTAAATGCATACTTAGGACAATATTCGTCAGAATTGCTCAAATGGTCCAATGTTGATTATCAAAGCATTTTATTTGAACAATATCTTCTATCCAAAGCACTCATACTTAACACTGCTCTATTTGAGCGCTGAGAAGACCATGAGATTTATTTTACTTAGATTATGCGTTCATTTTTCGCACCAAGAAAATATTCATAACTCGACGTCTAGAGGCGCTTGGCAGATAACGAAGACAGATTTGGAATCAGCGTTTGATGTTCTTTATAGTCGTATCAATTTCATTTGAAAAGGCCACTTCGACCAAACACACTTCCCTTGTTAGATAGACCAAAACCAAACTTTTTGACTACTGTATTTTTAATGCAGTGTAAAAAAGAAAGAAGAAGAAAGACAAAAATAAGTAGCAAGTATGACGGTTATCACTTGAAAAAAAAATCAAGAATCAGTAGACAGTGCTGGACCGGGGAGGGGGGTGGGGGGGGGGAGACAGCAGAAAAGGGGCGTGGCGAGGCAAGATTGATGGGTTACTTATATCTATATACATATATATAAAACTCAATGTCTGTGAGGATGTTCGTTTAGTTGTTCGTTCGTTATAGAAACGCGCGCCACTGAACCGATCCGGCTGAAACTTCGCGCACGTATATTTTCGACCCCGGCGGTGGTTTAGAGCTACTTTCCGCGGCGATTCGCCGGGCCATTCTATCGATTTATTGATTTGTTTACTCAAACCTAAGAAAATGAAGGGCCATCATGGCAACCGATCATTTTTACATATAAGCATGTAAGCAGGGGCGGTAAAGTCCATTTCAGTCTTAAAGTTGGTAGGGTGCGGCAATTAGTTTGATAGCGCTTTATGCGCATGTTAGAAGAAATCTAAAGGCGTAAGTTTACAAGTTCTGTTGGCTTAACTAACTTGAAGTCTCGGGTGAGACCGGGGCCACCAGCTAGTGACTCATAAGAGTGTCTGAGTCGTTTATAATTGTAATAAGAATGATTTACAAAATTTGAAACTCAAATCAGCCTTGTAAAGTTTTTCTTTTTGGTTTGGAGTTAGCCCGCAGAAAGTTTGGAAAACAAGCTAGATAATTTCTGCAGAATCAGATGTCTTTATGACTATCGTATTTCAGCTGATACTTCCACACTGCGAACCTCTTATACACTTCGCACTCAACACTGGCACTCGATCTACCCCACCTATCAGAGCCTACACTTGCAAGGTACTTGGATCTCAATCACTGAAAAATAAAAACTTATAATAAAGTTTTCAGTCTGTCTATGACGAACTTCGCGACAATGCTTGCAAAGCGCTCAAATCAAATCACTTTCTACGATTTGATACGAAAAATAGAGTCATCTACCTAGGAAAAGTCTTCAAATGGTATGAAATCGACTTTGGTCGCAGCACAGAAATGGTAAGGTGGAGTCTCGGTTCGTTTGGCAGTCAGACAAGGAGGACTATTTTAGGTGCTTGAATATCTCCTGGACTTGATGAGCAGGACGAATTCAAAGAAAAAACGGATGCTTGAGGATTGGTTGTGCGACGGCAATGTAGAAGTAGATTACATGACTCATGACTGGATGTTTAATGGGCAAATGAGTGAGATAGAGTTGAAATGAAGAGTAAAATGTGTCTTACCTTACCTAGCGGCATTATTTCGCTAATAAAAACTTTTGTCAAAATCATGAGAGTAAATTCAGTTACGAAAAGCAAAAGTACGGCAATGTTTATACCAAGAACACAAGATCGAAGATACATCGCTCACAATCTGTGAACAGCAACTTTCAGAAGGCAATGTCGGCAGGTCTAGGAGCACCTCAATACCAACAGCTAACTGAAGCGGGCTCTTCGTAAGCTCAGAGCCTGTTTGCGGCTGCAGTATATTGCTCTAAAGCAAGAAAATCGCTTCAGAAGTTCAAACATAGACGCTTCTCGATTCCGTTCGTCCTTCCAAAGAAGAAGAAATCGTACAACAAGGCTGCCATTGGCTGAAACGACGTGAATTTTGAGGAGAGTTTATGTTCAAACTTCTGTAGCAATTTTCTCGTTTCAGAAACAATATGTTTCAGTCGCAACCGTTCTATGGTTTGCATGGGAAAACTCGCTTCGGTAATCTGTTGAGGCTGAGGTGCTCTCAAATCTCTACGGACACTGCCTTCATTTGAGTTCGACATCAAGTTTTGACATACTGCAGTACTTAGCCCTGGTTGAGTTCTTAACAAAGATGTTTATCCAGGCATAGTTATTTATAGATAACGCATTCGGGAAACATCTGATGACGCTAGCGTTATCTGTTGTTCGATGAACCTCTAGGAAAAACAAAACTGTTGAGATGAGATCTTCTACAGTAAAACAGAGAGCTTATTGAATGCAATCAAGATGATGATTTAAGATTTGTGACACAAACAGAAAAATTCCAGACTGATATATGGACACAAACAACCTTCGAGGCGTAGAAGGCAAAAACCCAAGCCGAAAAGCATTTTGCACTCTCTCGCTTATAATGAGCGATTGCACTGAACTGAGTTGTATAAAAGCAATGATTCATTGTGATCGATAGTGTAAAAGGAATAGAATGCCTGCTGGACATGGTTAAAACATTTAGCCGATAGTTCAGTAAATTTTGAAGTGATTTTGAAATGCTACATTTATAAAATACTGTTCGACGTTCTTCTTTTCCACGTACCAGGATCAACTTCTAACACAGGGCCGGCAGAGGCCACGACGTGGTCCTATAAACGGAATCCAACTACTAATCAATATCCGTCCCAGGAGCCGCTATCATTACAGCCTACTTAGCCTCTGGAAAGGTACCAGGGTCATTTTCCAGCATGGGAGCCGGCAGAAGCCACGACGTGGTCTTATAAAGGGATCACACTGCTAATCACTATCCGGCACGGGAGCCGTCATACAACTTACACTGGAACGAGATTTAGGGCCGCATGCACTGACCTCCTCGACCAGATATCTGGATTTAACGTTGTGTACCTATCCGTAAGTATTCCTACTACTCTTCACTGTGAACATGTTGAACAGGAGCGAAAAGCTGTACAAACCGCATTTTCCAGGTTTCGTATGATCCCTGATGATCCCCGGCGCTAATCTTTAAAGTCATTTTTCTTTTTCCGAAGTTAACGAAAACCTTTTGAAGTTGTACTGAACATCTAACACAACAGTGCTAAGCATGTTGCTGATGAGAACAAATGAGTTTTTGAAAAGTCGAATTTCTCGGTAAACCTCAAAATTCGACCTGTGGATCATCGAAAATTTCATGACTTCGAAACATCATTTGTTCTTATCAGCAACATGCTTAGCACTGTTGTGTTAGATGTTCATACAACTTTGGAAGGTTTTCGTTAACTTCGGAGAAAAAAAAATGACTTCAAAGAAAAGCACCGGGGATCATCAGGGATCCAAAAGCTGGAAAATGCGGTTTGTACAGCTTCTCGCTCCTGTTCAACATGTTCATAGTGAAGGGTAGTAGGAATACTTACGGATAGGTACACAATGTGAAATTCAGGTATCTGGAGTTTCGAAATATATATCTTTCTTTTAAGCTGCGATCCCCTCCCCGCGGGGATGTTAGTGCATGTGGCCCTTAGTGTCATTCTTCGGCGCAGAGCCGGTATCTCGATAAATGCGAACTATTACAGAATCAACACCCTTCCCGAAAACTGCCATATGATCTGTCATGTTTCTAGCCAGTTTACTTCCATTTTAGCACCAACACCACAATATCGCAGCTCAACGTCTAAAACTGATGCCGCAATTAGCAAAAATGACTAGGCTTAGCATCTAAATGCGAATTACATTTGTAGGGAGAGGCTTTTTCCAAGCTGCAGCAGCGAGACCATGGACCTAGCATGTTGCTTCTTGGCAAAACCCACGATTTAGCTCGCAAACTATTGGTGCCTTGCTAATCCAAATGCGAACTAAGCTGGAGGTTGCAGGGGAACCTTTTACACTGCTGTCAAGAGCGCGGTCGCCCATGCGAGGCAGGGCTCAGCACAGCTGGCACCGGGTCAAGCTGGATATTGTTTTTAGGGCGGAAAGCAAAGGGGATATCGTTTCTACAGGAGCCGAGGCGGAGAACTGCCGCAAAAATGCCGCCGGCATGCCACCGGCATGCCATCGGCAAGCTGTCCATCAACAAATAAAGGCGTTGTTTTCAGCCAAAACGCAATAGTATGACACCAAATTTGGTGTGTGCATGCGCGTTGATGGACCGGAACTAGGGGCCAAAAATTTATGAAAACTTATGTGAATGAAAGCTGTGCCGAACTTTTTTCTGAATTAGCTGGCACCGTGCCAGCTGGGTGCCAGCTGAGATGGCACCAACACTTTGCTCTCATAAGTTTTCATACTTTTTTACATAAAATGTATCTACACTGTAAAAGATTACATATGGAGAAGAAACAGTTTCATAATGTTTTCTTTTTAGCGTTTTACAGCAATCTGAAAATTAGTCGGAAAATCGGCTTTTTCTTCTTCTCAAGATGTGATTTGACCACTTAAAAAGCTCAGAAAGTTGTGAAAAGTTCTTTCATGGAATCAGAAAGCATGAAAACACTACTACATTTTTTACATAATATAAAAATGATGACGGGTTTTCAAAACAGGTCAAAAGGGACTTCGTACGGAATATCAAACGAGACTTCGTTTGTAAATTTCCCTGGTGCCAGCTCGTGCGGAGCCCTGATGCGAGGGCATGACCTGCTTATCATCTTAGGAATCGTTCATACCGCGCACAAAGGCGGACGAAGGCGCACGAAGGCGGATGAAGGCGGACGAAGCCGCACAAAAGCGGACGAAGGCGCACGAAGGCGCGTCTTGTCTCGTCTTGTTTCTCTCGACACACACACTCATAAATGCCTTCGTGCGCCTTCGTCCGCCTTTGTGCGCGGTATGAACGATCCCTCAACGAACACGGGCAGGGGCTGAGGCGATAGCCGCAGGAGCGAAAAAAAGTCTTCTTCTCCTCACATCCTGTCCATATCATAATCGATATTGTCTTGCCAGGAATAAACTATGAGCAAAATAGCTTCCCTTTGTCCAGCGTGCACTTGCCTAGCAAAAAGGTATCCTACAATCACACGCAGCCTACTTCGAAATGGAAGATAGCACAGCAAGGCCGTGCCAATCAATCAATTGTTGGGACACGAAAGGCTAAAACCGTGATCATGCTATGGAAGATGAACAGTCGCGAATTCCCATCTGGCCCACAAGACAGCCGTTGAAGACGTTCAAAGTACACTGCTCCACGAAACTTAGCGATGAGACATACAATACCGCTCGCATTTTTTGAAAAAAAGACGCGAATGTATGGACATGTATGGACATGTACGGACATGTCCATACATGTATGGACATGTATGGACATGTCCATACATGTATGGACATGTATGGACATGTCTATACATGTCCATACATGTCCTTTTCAAAAAATGCGAGCGGTATTGTACAAAGCGGAACTCACCCACTCCTAGGCTTGAGCGTAGTCTACTTTTAACAGAACTGCTTCTTCATTCACTAGTACTTGAGTAACCCTTCTTCTACTCGGAAGACGGTAGCTCCAATGTTAAACCATAATCTTCTAATCCGATTGGAAACGTAGTTCACATCTTCTGTCTTCATCTTCATCCTTGTATGATCTTCTTGGAACGGATACAGGGACAGTAGCAAAAACCGACCGTCCCTCAGCTGACGAAAGACCGGAATGGTCATCCAAAGGCCAAGCACGCGGTTGGCTCAAGCTCCGCACCCTAACGCGTGCTTGGCCAACTGCCAGAGCACGTCGCAAAATTGCAAAACTCCATTTCGTCAATACACGCGCTTGCAATGAGTCAGCTGTACCTACCAAAATGGTTGACCAAGAATAAGATATTCGGGTCTTATCCAAACCATACCAGGTCTAACCACTCTGAAAAAAGATGTTCACGTGTACTGCGGAGCACCACAAAACAGGGAGTTCTTTGATTAAAACCTGGAGATACGTAAATGAGGCAGAATCAAAACATGAAAAGTCAGTAAAAGTGCTGAAACAACAATTTCGAGATCAAAGAAGACTAGTATGCGCGCTTCAAGAACATTATAAAGTCGACAAGCTCTTTTTGGTTTGGATGGAAACGATCCGTCAAATAAGAAAACTGAGACTGATGGGAGAAAGCATAACGGCGTGCGACACATTTACGGCACATGATATTGAGAAAAGCAAAGCATGGAGTACAAATGAAGTCCATCAATATTCAGAGGCTTGAAAAGTGCCGAACTTCAGTGGACACAGAACTATGCCACGTACTGAAATTGCACTTATTCTCATAATCAACTATTCACAACAAATTCCAGGTTTTTAACAACATATGACGCATTCTCGATTTATGGGCACTATATCGACGCGCACGTGTAAGTGCAGAATGTGCGTACTTTACGCTCAAATTATCGACTGTCGCACGCGTCATGCTTGTTCCACTTGATTAGCTTGACACTTCGCTGATGGTCAGATCAGTAAATTGACCAATGGCGAAGTGGATAAAGCGGATTATTGTTACTGGTCAGTTCTTGTGATTTGAGCAATAGCGAGGTGCATGAAATGGATCAGGCGGCACTTGCACTAAAAATCGGTAGAAGGCATGACGAGTTTCAAGACTTGCTTTTTCTACCAGGGCAAAGTTTGCGAGAATAGAATGCCAAGAAAATTGATTTTGTCATTTTGTATCACTTGCTCAAAAATTACAATTTTTGAAGAAGAGCGCAGTTGAAAAGAAATTGCTAAGGTGCAAAGAAATGTCATAAAATCTATGATACAAACTGCTCCGGTTTTCAAGGCAAGTTCCAGTTTAATGACTGTGCACAAAAAATTGAAATTTGGGTAAATTTCATGTACACACACCTTATATCTCATTATGTGTAAAAGATGGCCAATTAGGTGCTCTTGTAAAGCTTTCTCTTTCTACTCGAAAAAAGTATGATTTTTTGAAAATGGTGCGAACGAAAATTCGGGACGACCGGTTAATTGAACTAATTTCTGAAAATCCTCGAAAATTCAAAGTAGTCTTGTAAAAAATTGGAAGGACGAGGGAGGGACGAGGGTGGCCGCTGGCATGACCCGTTATTCTATTCGGGTATGTGGGCCCGCAAAAAAAATTTTGGGAAGCAATCCAATAGAATTTTCGCAGTGCGTAGATAACTACACGTTCCTTTAACCGTAAAATCTGTCCTCCTCCCCCAACGGAAATCCTGGGACCGTTAATGTTGTGAGGTTAGAACCTTTTCAGTCTGGATGAAAACAAAGTCATTGAAGGTAGAAATTTCCGAAGACCTATTAAAAAAGTGGCTTGTTCTAGAAGTGGGATCACCTTGAGGATTGGCTGAGAAGACTAGTATAATCATGTTGTAAGTTCTCTTGTCTTTGAACCTTGGCATGTCTTGAGGACGAATAATTTCAATTGTTATATTATGCCGTACAGGTGTTATAGATAATATAATTTACTGCCCGACGTTTCGGCAAAAGCCGTCTTTAGGGGCTGAAAAGGCGTCAATCACATTGATACAGGATCTCTGCCGCCAATACCATCTAATTGGGGCTTGCGAGCCAGGATGTAGGAGTCGTCCAGGGCTTTTCTTGCGGGAAATTGTTGTTCGTGGAGCAAGATCTTGCACCTGATATCGTACAAACCGTTATGTTCGGTCATTCTATGCTTACCCAGTGGACTAATCATGCTTTGCTTCTTTTTGCTGGCTAGATGTTTCAGTTTCACCACTATATATGGTAGTGCGCTTCGCACACTCAATTTGATGTACAACACCAGATTTCGCACAATCTCCATGTACGTGTGCCCTACTTAAGCAGCCCCACAGTAGCTTGGGTGCTCATTTGACACCGCACTTGACCGAGCACATCCGAGTGGCTGTTAGCTACAACATCGGTGATATACTTGGTGGGTGAGCCATCGCCCCCCTCCCTGCTTCCACTAAACGAATCGAGCGGCAATTCGGTGGACATATTTGGCGGCAGAGATCGTGTATCCATGTGACTGACGCCTTTCCAGCCCCTGAAGACGGCGTCTTGCTGAAACGTCGGGCAATAGGCACAATATAGCAATTGAAACTAGTGCAATCATTCTCCGATTAAGTGACTCAAACCGCTTTGCATCAGTGACGGTCCCAGGATTTCCGCTTGGGCGGGAGGCAGGGACAAAGAATTGTTTTTTCGAAATGAAGGTTGCACTTCGCAAATCTTTTCGGGATGCTTCCCAAAATTTTTGCGGACCCATAACCCCGAAATCTTGAAAAAAGGAAGCGTGGCGGCAGCCCACGTCTCCTAAGTTTTTTTTCGCAAGGCTATAGTGAATTTGAATTTTTGGTACTTTCCTCCGGAGCCATATTCCAAAAAGCGCTGTTTTCCTTGTATCAATTTCGTCAAAAAATTCACAGGAAGAGTCGGCTTACCGCCACGTGTCAAAAAATTGACATGTCATCTACATGTTTAGTAGGTTTTATCACGAGTTTGTTTAGCCTACCTATCATGCATGTTCATCTTTTTTCAATGCATTAATGACCCCCATTTTTAGTCAACAGTTTCATAAATGAGCTTTAACATTATGAAATGACATTCTGTGTTCAATAAACACATTGGGTACCAAACACATTGGGTACCAAAACAGAAAAGTGGGCTATCTTATATATAAAACTGAATGTCTGTTTGTCTGTCTGTCTGTCTGTATGTATGTATGTCTGTGTGTACGTATGTTCCGAATAGAAAATTCCATTTCTGAACCGATCCGGACCAAACTTGGCACACATACACTTCGGGCCCCGGCGGGTGTCATAGGCTACTTTTCGACATCGATCGATATCGATTTTATCGATTTTTTGCAAAATTTGAGCTACGGGGCTGAGAGTTGGCACAGGGGGGTAATCGAGCATGCTGATTACGAATAACAATATTAGTTTTTGAAATCTTCCGTTAGTTTTATTGATTTTATCGATTTTTTTGTAAATCTTGAGCTACGGGGCTGGGAATTCGCATAGGGGATAACCGAGCCTGCTGATAACTAACACAACGGGAATAGGGAGTTGAAGTTGGTATGTAGAAGTGGGCACAGGGAAAGGTTGTAGGGATAGGGATCGAACCTTTATCACAGTGTTTGACAGGGCCGGGCGGGGCCGGGTAAGCCAGCTAGTATTTTGTAAGCAAAGCCTTCGATAACCCCTTTGGCGAAATTTTTGGAGACATGTTTTCATTTTTTCCAAAAAACCACCATTTCGGACAATACGACCCAGGTCGTGAGTTTGACAGAGCGAGAAAGGCTCTATCCAAAACTACGATATTTGAAAAATTGGCCTTGCTGTAAGTGTGTTAATTATTGTCTTGACGCGTGGAAAGGAGGCAGTCCTCACACATCTACAAAAATTTGAAGCACGTTTTCATGATTTTTGAAAAATGGGTCCGGATAACGGATTATAAATTTTTTTTCTGAAAATTATTTCTATTTACAAATTCAAGTAAATCATTTGCACTGTAAGTGATTTTCAAAAACTTTGCGACATCCTTGGCACACATTGTCTAAACAAGCTTGAATTGTATATTTTTTCAAAGATCTATTCAAGGCGCACAGCTGCCTACTACTTTGAACACGTCGCTCCCTCTCCTGTTCTTGGCTGCAGGCGCGGTAACCTTCCCGGACTTGAATTTCTTTACTCAGCCTGTGCTTATTCTTTCTTCCGTGTTCGTGAATGTTTATCCTTTGCAGCATTTTCAAGTTTTGTTTGTTATTTACACAAGACGAAAAACCACCGGGAATTATCGAAAGATAAGTGGATGCTTCCGATTCAATCATGACGAGATGGACTTTTTCGGCATTTTGAAAGGAATTTCTTCGTATTTTTTCTTTCCTCGAAACCACAGATAGCCGCATGTGCAGTGATTGCCAGATAGTGTGTCTGAACGTGAACGCATGCAGCAGCTGTACTACTGCACTAATCCAGTATACTGCTTGTAAGCTGATTTCTGACGCCATTTCCAGTTTTCTGCTTCTGTAGGTAGCGATCATGGGTTAAGCAGAAACCTTTTTATTCATAGCGGCAACGGTGTGAAGGCAGCAATCTAAACAAGCACATAGGTACGGGTTTTCATAAGCTTCATGGGTGCGGTCTAGATCATGTCATTGTAATGTGGGTAATTTCCTGTACAGGCGCGAGGGCGAGAAGATGGATCTCTTCAACTCTTTCCCATCACTTATCACTTCGTAGTCTCGATTATCTCTTGCTAGGTACTTGCGCGAGTCCAGATGTCTTTCTTTCTGTTCTAAGCCACAGCCAAGCGAAAACGGCGAAAAATGCTTTTCCGGAAGCCTTACACCTCGAATTTGGACAACTGCCGTCAAAGCTGAGACAGAGTCGCAGACTCAAGACTTCAAATCCTCAGCTTTGGCAGTATGCGTACTCTTCCGCAGAGCAGGAAATCAAACAGTTTGTGAGGTCTACCCAAAGGGCGTGAAATTCCCAACTTTGCGACCATATTTGTGGCATCTGGTCAAACGTTATGGCCTCGCACTTGCGCGATGGCGTGTCCGATGGGCCGACTATCGCATGAGACTGAATCTCAGAACCCATACCTTGTCCGGGCACTGCCTTTGAGGTCACCAACTCCCAACCTCAATATATGTTTGTATTGGTATGCATCTTAATCTGCTTTCCTTCACGTACTAGGACAGCATTCTAACATTGCACAAATGAGTGCACGTTGGTGGCTCAAATAAAACTGTCATTGTGTAGGCGCACAAAAGGTGCTACCAAACTTTACCATAAGATTGATTAGCCACTAACTGGGGCTTTACCTAAAACTGGTAAGCCATGATCAAAATCACATTTCATGGTGCATCAGCCAAAATAGACCGATACAATGTTTAGCTCGTAGTAACAACACAGCCAGCTAAGCTTGACCTTGGGACCAGCTCCTTGAAAACAGTGCTTTGCACTCAATACAGCACAGTAAACACTTAGGGGCCAATCACTCCCGAACTTCGCAAAATAACGGGAATACGATTAATAAATCCAAAATCTGCTGAAGCAAATCAATGAGAGTGACTCCAAAGATGCTGCTCAAAAAACTTCGAAGGCCCTATTTTGTTGCGCTCAGAATTGCTTGTAAACCCGTTGAAAAAAAACCGAATCTCGTATGTTTCTGAGCCAATCTGATAGAAGACTACAGAAAAGATGCTAATTGCATCTGTTTTCAAATCTTGCCTAATATAAGTGAGGGAATCGGAAAGGACGGACGGTCAAAGTAGGCTTTCAAGATGGAATTTATACCCTCCTGAAGGGCATAAAACGCTGACTGCAAATCTGACGCAGCTCGCGAATTACAGGGAAACCAAACTGAAGTTACTTAGACCTGTCACTATTCACTGTAAGACTGGCCGGCAAAGATTGCCAAGTAATTCGAGAGGGACAAAGCTTATAGTAAATGTAAAGAAATTTGTAAAGACTCTTATCAGCATATCTACTCTCATTTTGATTACTGCTTTTGTTTAGCTGTTCTTTATATGACTGTCATCCAAGTCTTCTCACCCAGACGAGATTTCCGAAGAATTTTACACACCTCAACAACGAAGTTTATAATGTTAAATAACACAGTGGTATGTACAGAGAAGTAGTGTGTATGCAAGTGGGTAGGACCACATTTTCGAAAAAAACAAAGCAAATACTATACAGTTTGAGTTTGCGAGACCGCTATTACTAATGGGACTTGCTTCCACATCAAACACATACACATCTTACCAGAATTACTATTTAGATGACTACGACTATTAATTTCTTATCAGAGATGAACAGTAAAACAACACTTATATGTATGTCACTATAATCATTTTACAGTTCCAATATATACAGCCTATCTTCGCAGTTTGCTCCCATAATCGGAATTCTCATTGGCTCCACTATGACACCTCTGAAATTTTGATACAAGTGCTCAAAATAATCTTCAGAGCGAACAAGGATCAGAAGTGAAAATCCTACATACCTGCTGGGTGGAGTTTTCACCCCGAGCATTGTGTTGTTCGGTTGAAACACGCTGGAACGGCAAGGACAGTTGGTTGTTCTCCATCAAGACATTTGGCAAGAAAGGTGCTAGCGGAGGGGGAACGATATTCTGCATTTGCTGGAGATGTTGTAATTGAAAATAGTCGTACATCAATTTTTGCGGTGGAGGCAGAAGTGATCCATAAAAGGGCGGCGAAAATGGCGGTGCATTTCTGGAGTTCGTCGCTCCTAAAATATCACAGTCTGTTTTTGTATTTTTTGAGTTTCGACTGAAGCTAATTTTGAAGTAGTTATTTTGGATAACTAAGTCACTTTGGAAGACTCGCAGGCATACAGTAACTACAGTAACCTCTTTGACTATGAGTGGAGAGCGTTCGGCGCACGCCCGCAGAGGCATCAAAAACACCTTTATCCTTTTATTTTGGCCAACTATGGTTCCAACGCTAAGCTGCTCTTACTTGGGGTAAAATGAATTTCTAAACATGAACAGACTACTTACGTGAGATGGGACCAAAGAAAAATTTTTGCCCTCATAGTACAATCTGAACCCACATATGGGTGGAGAATGGTGTAGGGGCTAGTCACGTCCGATTGAGATCGCATGTATGAACCTCACCGCCGATATTTTGGTGTTTTGGCACGATGGTAGGCATGCATGATAACCTAGCAGCCGGCTGCTTCTGCAGCCAGCCGCCGGAGCAAGGCCGTTGCAGATGGGTAGAGGAACGACCTCAATTATGCACCGCCTCCGTGGACTACTGATCCTACCACGATGTGAAACAATGAAGCGAAAGGACGAGCAGTCCTTGGAGACGCATAACTAATGATTTGGTCTTCTACCCGCTGCAGATGGTACGGCGATTACGCGTCGTTCGAAACTCTTGCCGAGAGCTTTTCTCACACCTCGTCGCGCTGAGGTACGCTATCAACCCCGGAAAAAGCGTGGTATCATCGATATCCATATCATTTTGAACGGCAAAAAATTCATAATTTATGGAGAGCCATGCAATCGAGTGCAAAACTACGCGGAAATTTTGAAAAATTTATAAACCACAAAAATAAATAGGAAAAATAGGAAATAGTTTTTTTGGATTGGATCATTTTCTATTTTTTAGCAACTCTGAAAATTCTTTAGAAGATCTTCGTAAAAAAATACAATATCCAAATAACTTCATGAGTTACTCGGTTAGATATACCCCTGCTTTCTAAAGGTAATCTAGATGTATGCAGTTGTGTTCTAGTTAAAGGGCTTTATTTGATCAAAAACAAAAAGTGGATTTCTGTTATTTTGGTTTCTTTTCACCTACACCAGCTGAAGTGAATTTTTGTTTTGTTTCTTGCATCTTGAGCATCTATATAACGCCGTGTGGGTCTTGATGATTTTCTGTGGTACTGAAAGACGAAGAGGCACAATTGTGGGATGTCATACACGATTACCGGGTGAACTCCTTGCTCATTTACCTCAAAATTCCCGCGAAATTCGGGCGGGTTTGCAGAGCTGAAGTGTACAAATGGGAGGGCCGCAACGAACTTTGACTTAGAATTTTTTCATCAAAAACTTTTTATTTTCCCAAAGTATCCTGAGAAGTGATGAATTTCTCACGTAAGCTTGAGTCTGAGGCTCTTGCTGAAATTGTAGAGATTAAAATGAGACATTTCTACTTGTTGATGTTATCCGCTGTTTTCTTTCAAGTCAGCATATGCGACATTTTCGCCTTACGTGACTAAGTGATATTATTAGACCTACTATGGCTTGCTTAGTCTCAACATCCCGTCATGAATCACTAAGTTTAACACGTTTAGGACCGGTGCTGCACATGGTGCAGCACCCTGCTTTGAAGGATCTTCTTGACGTTTACAGAAGGTTTTCCTTTAGTCCAAGGTTATCAAGTCAAAGGCCTAAGCTTCTACTTCTCAAGTGACTTTGTAGAGTTGTGCCTCCAATATCTGTTTAGGAGATATGAGCACAAATCGAACAACAGTTGCAACGAAATGCGGCAACGCGGACGACGCGTGCGACGTCGCAACTTTCCTTTGCTTCGATATCAAAGAGAAAAACCATAGTTTCAATACTGATGTGTGCTGTCCACAACATAAATGCTATTGGATACTATTAGAAACTGAGTTCTTGTTTCTTTCTTTCAGGAAAGCACAGAAGAGTCCTTCTCAAGTGGCAAAATTCAAACACTTCGAATTCACTCAGAACTTTGGGTATGGGGCTTATCCGACATGGTCATTACAGATGTAGCACACAGTCTCCAAAATGAGGTCCCTTTGTTGGCTAACGGTTGAAAAACACTCCTTTTCGCCGCGCGCGATTTCGCGGTCCCAAACGTGTTAATACAAGTTTCTTTTAAAACATAGGATTCTCGTTCTTGTCCGTTCTCCGACGTTGAATGCCAGAAGAAGAGATTCTCAGAAATTTAAAATTTTCTAAATTTATCAGCTTGTGGTCTGGGCAAGATTTTAGACGATGAGCGTGATTACTGCACCTCCAGCGACTTTGCCGGCAGCTCCGGTGGCTAGTTGCTGCAGCAGTCGACTGCTCGGGTACCTCTTGCTAGGCACCCAGACACGACTAATCTGAGGGTCTCAGGTCATACTGAGAGTTTTCTACATAATATTGCTGAAAGCCACTGTGATGACATGACCTCTGCATTTTGTGCCCCGAAAAGAAGTCCAGCATGCTTCGTGATTTCTGTGCCGCGCCTTGATACTAACTCGCAATGAATACATCAAGTCAACTTACCATTACCATTAGCAGGTGCTTGTCTTCCTGATGCTAATGCTCTGAGGTTATCTGGGGTACGATTAGGAGGTAGCCGTTGTCTGATTAGTGGATTTGCATTGCCAGATAGTGGCGAAGAGGTGTCGCTGCGCTTTTCGTTTACACTTGCCGTAGGGGGCGGCGGTGGCGGTGGGGGCTGGAAATGACATTTTGACATGAGATTTTTAAACACACTTGTATTTCTTCAATGTTTCGTGGATGTTACTAGTTAAGTAGCTCACAAATAAGGCAGGTAAGTTGCACATATCATTTTGGAATTGGCGCTCATCACTCTTAGTTCCATTTGCTTCCTTATCCTTTTTCAAGCTCTGCAACAGGCAAATATTTGAAAAAATTCCCAAAAGCACAAAACATGACTGTCTCCCACTTCAAGCTTAGCCTTCAGCTCTGCGCCAGTCTGTTTCACTGAGTTACAAGATTTTCTAAATGTTGTCTTCAGTGTCTCCATCTCGTCCGTATGCTTCGTGACGATCTGCTGAAGTGATCCATACAAATCCAAAAGGCGGGTCACGTCATTGCGTAAGGAATTTATTGAATCGTTTATTCTCATGTTTTTTCGATTGCACTTTCCACTGTGCTCATCAAGCATTTGCTCGGCATCATCTCTGCTGTGTTGGAATTGTTCATTGACTTCTGTTTCCAACAAGGTGACCATCGATATCAGGTGCTGAAGATCTCTTTGTTCGCAGATAATCCTGAAAACGAATGATTTTGCATACTTAGGAACACTATGGAAGATTAGCAATGAGTATTTGGTAGTTCTTTCACCTGCGAGACAGTCAAGAGTCGCAATTTCTCCAAAGGTCACCAATATAACAGCACAATTTAGAGCTACACGAGTCTTCAAAAATACCAAACAAAGTGCTCTAGTTACCTTTTTGAAGCCACCATCTGCTAAGTTTGACGACATTTGGTGGAAAATTGATTAAAATATCCACGGAATTGCAATTAGTTGCACTTTTGCGAGTTTTTAACATCCGACATATTTGAGTCTATTTTAGAGCGATAAGATCGAGCAGCTTATGGGCCGATTGTACATGTCTTGTTAGAACTTTAAATTGCTCACAGAAATTCACAGAGTACTAAAAATGCTCTAATTGGTGTCCATCTGGAATAAAAATCGCACCTCTTCGCATTCACTTTTATCTTAATTATAGCCTCTAGAATTTTTCTTGGTGATATGGGCAACATAAAAAACCACGAAAGAAGCTGGCTTTAGCTTGAATTTTTCGCGATTTTCAAGAATTTTGCCAGCTTGCAAGTCCTTGAAAGTTATTCACAAAGCTGGTTTTTTTTTATAAATTTGTTGAACCAGCCCTAATAAAATAGAAACAAGTCACTAGCATGATAGTAAACTTATAAAGAAAATTTCAAAAACTTTCGCAACAAACTCCCTCTCTCTAATTACCTGTATATGTATATAAAAAAAACCTCACCTCTGCAGGGTGCATGCGATTTTTAGTTTTTGATCATCCTGCATAGATGGCAAAAGTGAAGTCAGCTGTAAGCACAGTACTATTGTAAATTTTTTAGATAGCCAGAGTTGAATGCAGACCTCCTTGATAAGGTATCGAATCCACGAATCAGCTTCCCGTTCCAGTCGAGCTTCTCTCGATCTGTCGCTGGCATTTCTGCTCTCACGTGAATTCGCAATTTCCGCAGCAGTTTCTTCAACGATTCGTAAGGGTGGTGTAACGCAGCCACCATCGTCAGATGTATTACTTGAATGGGCACTTAAGTCTCTTCTTCTTTTGCGACTACGGAAATCAGCAGATCCTGTTGATGCCCAGCTTCTTGCTCGTTCACGACCACCTGTTATGCTAAGTACTTTTATCATGATTGAACTAATTTTGGGTTACCATCTTTTCTTCGTTTTGCGGATGAACCATCTTCATTCGAGGTATTTGGCACATGTTGCGACTTTGGGGATGCAAAATGACGTCCCGAGGCTCGATCGGTCAAATCCGTGCAGGATCGGACTGCTGCGGTGTGTGACTTCTTTCGTAGATAACCATTACGCTGAAAGAATATTGAGTAACTTTACTTAGTTTGGAGCTTTCCTTTTTAAAAGTTGGAAATTGTTCGGGCATTGCCCATTTGATGTTCGTATTTTACATTTGATCTGACCGGATATGCAGTAATATGAGACAATGATGATCTTTCACCAATCATTCTTGTTTTATTCACACTCTGAAATTGAAGTTCAAAACCACTATATTTCTCAAGGTACGTCAATTCCAAAAAGTGATAATTTTGCTTTATCTTAATAGATAATGGCTAAGGATACATGAATAGGCCTAACCCCTTTTGGACGTCCTCTCTTCTTGGGCGGTGCTCCTGAATCTACAAGAATTCCTGTTCGTTTCCCTTTGGACAAAGATGGCACAACCTCCGCCATGGTCATTTTGACTGCTTCTCTGGAACAGAGCAATTCATTGACTCTAATAAATTACACAAGCTTCGCAATAATTTTTCTCGTACTTTTGACAAAAAATCTTATAAATCTTTTTTGCGATTTTTTTTATTATACATGGTTTGTGTCCCGCTACCTCCCGCCCATAAAAGTTACCGCTTCGCATGCCTCTCGCGCCTTCGCGCTCCCTTTGAGGCGCCTTTCAAGGCATTCATCCTACTAACGCGTCAAAGGTAGCAAGTGTTTTAGTCGCGGTCCTGTGGAAGGTATTTCCGGACACGGACCAGAGATACGTTAAGGACATTTTTATGGAACATTGAATCAACTCCCACATTTTCTTCGCATTTTCGGTTTGAAGTCGTTCGTGCTCCTCTGGACTAAGAGTGGCCATTCGGCTTATTCGTGGAGGTGGACAATTCGGCGGTACAAACGCCGAGTCTTGCTTCTTTTCTACAAGAGTAAATCAGTGAAATTTTTGCTACAAAACATCGGTTTATACCTGCAGGTGGTCGTTCTTCAACTACGCGTTTTATTGGCTGCAAAGGAACGATGGGAGTTTTACTCTAAATTATCCATATATTCTGAAGCCCGAAGAAATGTAGCTAACGGACTTGACACGCCACACAAGTGTTTAGTGATGAGTTGCTTCGAGATCGTGCATTTTCTCGTAATGGAGACGGTTTCGGTTCCTTAGCAGGCGAAGAAGAATTTTCATTAGCTGGCGATACTGAAACAGATTCTTAAAGAAGCTATTGAAATACTTCTTTTGCAATTACTCAGACAATGGATCGGACCCCTCCGCTGGGGAAATGGCAGGGTCGCGGCGTTTCCCCAGCGGTGGGTCACCCATTCGTCCGGCGGAGCCCTCCCATTTCTCCGGCGGAGACCTCCCATTTCTGCTCCGGATACCTCCCGTTTTCTGCTCCGGAGACCTCCCATCTTCTGCTCCGGATACCCCCCATTTTCTGCTCCGGATACCCCCCATTTTCTGCTCCGGATACCTCCCATTTTCTGCTCCGGAGCCCCCCGATTTTGTGCGCCGGAGCCCCCCGATCGCGGCATACTGTAATTAGCCCTGATTAAAGGCAGCTTCCAGGCAGATCTGGACCTATGGGGCTTTTACATGGAAAGTACTTTTGGGGCCCTAACTAAGGCACTGCCGAAGCAGCAGCTCAGGTAGTGCTCCAATGGCTGAGATATTCCCCTCGAAACAGACCCCCGCGAACGTACTCGCATGGATTCATGGCAGTTTCGCGCCAGGATCCACTCTTTGCGCCATGAATCCGTGCGAAACACGGTCGCGGGGTCCGGTTTCGAGCAGAATATCTCAGGATATCTCAGGCGTTAGAGCACTACTTGAGCTGCCGGTTGGGTAGTGGCTTAGTTAGGGCCCCAAAATACTTTCCATGTAAAATCCCCATAGGTCCAGACTTGCCTGGACGCTGCCTTTAAGCTCCAAACCCCAATTTTGTCTCTAAACCCCACCCAAATAAGCCGAATAGGACCCCCCCCCGGGTAGGAGTTTAGCGCGACCCTCACCCCGTACTCTACCCCCTCCCTCTCACCCCTAGCGTTTGTGGATAGAAGATAGAAGAAAGAACGAAGAGATAAGACATTTATTTCAAATTTATCAAACTTTCGAAAAATCTATCTATCTATCTCCAGCATACGTACAACAGTTAATTCATATTACAAAAACCATACTAGGAGTGATAAGAATATTCAAAGAAAAACTAATTTCCTAGTTGCAAAAAGAACCTTGTAACACCACAGTATAAGCATATGGTTTTAACATGGTAAGAAAATGACAAAAAGATCAAAAAAGCATTCTGTGCAACATGAAACAAAACAGCGAGGAACGCCATAAACTCACATTTGCAAAGCAGGGACATATTGTCCAAGTGCGATATATACATGAGCTATATTCATCCAAACATCTTCGAATTCCGAGGTCCAAGGCCATACTGGGGCAAAACGAAAGTAGGATGATTCAACGTAGTTGCTTGATAATAGTACTAGGACACGATGATGACATGGATTGAAATTCTTGCATATGCAACTTACCTTGAACGCCTTTTCATAGTCTCTGTTGAAATGGAAAAACCGCGCAAGAATGTAACAAGCTTCGGCCTTGATTTCGTCACTTTCCGTCATACTCATTGCATGCCACGCTAACCGTTCAACCTTGTTCATTTCCTGAAAAAGTGATGCCTTCAGATAAAGCGATAAACACCTCGATGTAACAGCTTGGACAAATTTAAAAGGTCCCTTTTATAGATAATTCGTAATTAATTCAAAGAATTTCTGCACTGACTCCTTTGAAGAAGAAGTGGTTGGCAAGATGGACCAAGACAACCGGATTCTCCGGCTCCAGACTATACGCTTGGCCTAGACAAGCCACTGCACTTTGGGCTCCCTCGACAGTATGCGTATTGTAATCCAAAATGGCAAGTGCTGAGAGAGCACAAACATTGTCATTTTGCAATTCCAACGCTCGTTCAAAAGCGATTCTGCAAATTGTAATTGAAAGTCACATAAACAGTAAAGAAGAAGCTATGTGACTCAAACATTTCACATTTACATGCTTACCTAGCCTTATCAGTCCCTAATCTCGCTAAGCAATACTGGAAGCAATGTGATGTGACTAAGCAACAGTAACAGTCACAATGCTTCAGTAACAGTCACAAAACTTCAACATCGTTTGGAGTTGCCTCCAAGACTTTTGTCAACATATCTCTTGCCTTGTCCTATCTTTCAAGCCAGAAACGATATAGTGAGGATCTGCAACGTCTGATGAAAAGTCGATCGACTTGGTAAGCATACGTACGAGAGAGATAGTGTGGACCCCGGCCAGCTTCAGGTACTAGCGCGGCGCACACGCAACGCGCGCCCGACTTGAACGCTTCTCATTTCACTTACGAACAAAAAAGCATTATAACCGAAAACAGGAGTGAAATGAGATGTGGAGGCCTCTAATCCGAACACGAGAAAAGCCAAGGCAATAGGAGAACCTTCACAACTTCTACTACTAGCGCTCAGATTCCAGTCAATCTCATAAATAACTGGAATCTTCTATTATCCATCGCTAGTAGTGTATGACACTACCAGCGATGGATGATAGAAGTAACAGGAAAAGTCGAAGAACAATTCTGAAAAGTCTTCCTTCTGTTCATAAAAAAACCCAGAAAGTTTGAGCTCAAGAGCACGATTGCAAAGCTCTGATGGTGTAACAAAAGGCTAGAAGCATCTACACTCCACAAAATCAACTGCATATACACTTATTCTGAACATTTGGAGAGATGTCTCTGAACTACACCGAAATCTTCACTATTGAGAAAAAAACAAGATTTTCGAAACAAATGCTTGCAAGACTGTCAAGACTCGTAAAAATCCATCACCAGCAGTTGACGTGTGTCGTTTACATCTAAAGTAGAGATTACAGAAGAGAACAAACACACTTGAAAGAGGAAATTGAAAGAAATCCCTTCAGAGCCGAAACGAAAAGCGCACTGAAGGCATGCGCTGCGGGCGCGCCGCGGAGGTACCTATGGGAACCTGGCCGGGGTCCACACTATAGCAATAAACGGATTATTTAGACGATACTTTCATCACAACAACACTAGATAGTTGCGCAACTAACCTCATTGTTTCGAAAATCCAGAATTAATCACAAAAACCACTCCATCAATAGTCTACGATGTCTCAGCAAGTCGGAAAGAGCCAAACACTGAAGGTGATTGAGTGCAACCGCACGAAAATTTCAAACATAAACCTGAAAACGAGGAACTTACAGCAACATAAACGCCAACGCGACGAAGAGCAACGCGGAAAAGGAAAAAACGGTAAAGAAACGCGCAAAAACAACAGAATCAAATAAACGGCGACTAAAATATGGACAAAGAGCGTAAACAGAGGACTCATCACCGTGGAGTTAGACGTTTGCTTGCTACGCGCCAAATCGATACGCAGCCTGCTCCGGATACCTCCCATTTCTCCGGCGGATACCTCCCATCTTCTGCTCCGGATACCCCCCATTTTCTGCTCCGGATACCCCCCATTTTCTGCTCCGGATACCTCCCATTTCTGCTCCGGAGGCCTCCCATTTCTGCTCCGGACCCCTCCCATTTTCTCCGGCGCGACTCCGCCAGATTTGCCAGGCTCGCGCCGGACAAATTTGTCCGGCGCGAGCCTGGCAAATCTGCCAGGGTCGCGCCGGAGAAATGGCGGACCTTTGCAGCAGGGCCGGAGAAGCCTCCCATTTGCCTAGCAGTGATGTCACGCGAGGGACCGCCCATTTGCCCCGCTCTCATTGGTCAATTGGGTCCGGCGCGAGTCTGGCAGTTTCGGCTTGCCCAGCGGAGGGGTCCGATCCATTGTCTGAGTAGTGAAAAGATACCTAAGTTCTTCTCAGTCTCATCATTTATGTGATGAGAATTATTTTCTACCAAACTGTTGCTAACTGGAGTTTGCGGCTCAACCTGCAAGATAGAATTTCGAAGAAGTGAACTTCACATGGACTTCACATAAATTAAAATTCAAGAAACAATTGAAAGCTTGAAGATGAAAAGGTCTCACAGTATTGTTGTTCTCCTTATCGATCTTCACTAAAGGCTCCGCAATAGGAAGAGCGATTACGTTGATATCGTATAGAGCAGATTTCTGAAACCAGCTTCTTAAGAGGAAGTTAAATATGTCGCACTAAGATATTGTTTAAAAAGGAGGCAGACGTTGTTATCTGTGCAACAGCTTGATAAAATCATTTTTTTATTCAAGAAAAGTGTTGTCAATGCATTGCTGAATTCTAAATTTGTTCGTTGACTTAGGACTGAGATCACGTTTCAGCAATGAGTCTAAACTAGTTCTCAAATATTAGGCATGCCAGGGATTCAAAATGTACATTTTCCGCGTTCTCTTTCCACTTCAAGCCAACTCTGGATTGCTATAAAGCAAAAATTGAGAAAGCAATGAATAAGTACTGGTCCATTTTGAAATCTTGCTAAAGGTTGGGCAACCACTTATACACTAATTGCAGATTCCATAGGAACTAAGAAATTATGGAAAACACAAGAGTCACAGGATCCCACCTTTGGCAAAAGTACTGCAACGTTATTCAAGTCACTGATGCTTTCAGAGATCCAAAAAAATCTGGGAGAAAAAGTATGGGAGAATTTTTGAAAGAAAAAGATAAACTCGTGTTGATGAGGGTGGATTTTATGCCATTGGGCACTTTGTTGCCGAACTTTCTAGTATTTTCAAAGGAAAACGAAGAACATGTAACAGAAACTGTGGCCGAACTCTAGGGTTTTCAGCGAGCTTCCCAACTTCCGAAATAGGTTTGATAGGGGATCTAATATTTACCACTTATTGTCGATAAGTACTTCGCTCATGTAAGCCGCGGTCCAGAAACCTTCATCGGTTACCAAAAGGCAATTTTTGGTTGGTATAAAAATTGCAGCGACCACTGGGCTCATCAAATAATGAAATCTTATGTTTGACGTTGTCTTTTTGCATGTGACCCACTTCACTCATTCATACCATTCCACGCCTGAGTATAGTGCCATTTTTATAGATACACAAAACTCAGCCGTTTTTAGGAGCACTATAGGAATACGATAAAATTTGCAGCACATCACCGTCATTAATCGGCTATCTCTGAGGGTCCCAAGAAAATTCGGTATTTACAGACTATCTACATTAATGAACTTTGCAGTACTATAAGATTGATAGAAGCTTTCGAGTATACTAAGGACATTGCTGTCAACATGTCTACAGTATCCTCTGCCGGTAGCTCTGTGCATGGTATTATTATTATTTATTACATAGGCTGACCCTACGTTGGTCCACTTACATCGGCGAACATACGAAAACACATAAGAGAACACAAACAGATACCTAACACTAACTTATTTTACTAACTACTTTCAACAAAGATGGAAAATATTTTAAGCATGAGAATGGCAAGATGGTGATTCATTCCCTAGCGTATCTCACAGTAGCGCAGTGCTCCTTTAGTAACCTTATTCCACTGAATTCAGTGGATTCGACAATTCAGCGAGCTCTCGTTTTGTCGGCATATTCATTGGGTAAGGGGCCGGGCATACTTCACGCGATTTCAGTCGCGACGCGATTTGGTAATTCGCCAGAAGTCTTCGTATCCAACGCCAGCATTCCGCACATGCATAGTGTGTTTAACTTACGTGGATTGATAAAATGCCCTATCCTCTGTGCATTTAAAATGTGCTTACAGTGAGTTATGGACAGTTGGAATATTGCCAAGTCGCGTCGCGACTGAAATCGCGTGAAGTATGCCCGGCCCTTAAGATGGTAAGATTAATATTAACAGTCGCAGCACTGCGTTCGCTAACCCCTCGAAAGTCACGCAGGATTATGTGATGAACCACGGTTGAATGTTTCCGAATCTTTTCGACAGCACTATTCATCAAGCAGTAAATCTGGTTGAATTTGAGTTAAGCGGGTCCAGAAATTTGTCAAAATACAGTCGCATAAATTCTCTAGCAACTTACCGCGCACACCAAAAACAGTGCTCTAATAGTAGCATTGCTCTAAGGTTTCATCTCATCACATATAGAAAGAACGCAGGCAAGCTGCTTCTTTACCAGCACGCATTATTAGTTCAAAGTTCTCAAGGTTAGCGCGTTTTTAATTTACGCTTGATAGTAACTGATCGGCATGAATAGAACAGCAAACCTGTTAATAATCTTTAAGACGTACCGTTTCCATAACGTGCCTCTTCCGAATATATTTTCAACTATTGACAAGCGTAGATGCCAGACGGGAAGAAGAATCGTATTAGACTGAACTGATCTCACTACTTCTGCTGGCTTTTATACCCGCAAGCTGCTAGGATAAGTTGACATGCCAACGTGGCAAATTATGCGAACGTAATCAACACAGGTTATCAGTTAGTTTCAAACTTGTTAACCAGTTTTCACACGTTTTGTTGAGTTTAAGGGTGTTAACGTACATCTCAATAATTCGGAAGAGAGAGTAATTACATCCATCCAGACATTACATGTCATCTATGGCAGGTAATTCTAGATATTTTTGAAAATAGAAGAATGCCGAACATTCGATTATCAGATAATTCCCAAAATTAAAACTGTCGGTAATCGAATATCGTTATTTCCCAAAATGAAGAATGTCGATCGAGTGATTATCGAGTATTTCCAGATAAAAAAATTTCGAGTAATCGAATACATTTGAGGGAGAGATTTTCGAATATCGAATATGTTATACCGACTATGTCGAATATTCAAAAAGAAATTTTATCGAACTGGCACAACAAAAGGATCCATGTACAATACCGCTCGTTTTTTAAGGACTCGCAGTCGCCCGATTCATGTAAAATCACCGTAGCATGGCTATGTCTAGCTTTAGAATGGACGACTTTCTAATCCAATGCATTACTCGACCCGTTCGGCGTGGCACATCTTCTAATATAGAGAAATGTCCGCTTGGACACAGTAGGAGGCCAGATTCCACGAATCGTTTCAAATTTTTGCTTGCGGTAAGTTGCGCAATGAATGCGATGAATAAGCACACTGAGTAACCCACCGTAAGCAAAAATCTGAAACGATTCGCGGAATATGTCTTCCTGTTGTGTCCAAACAGCAATTCTATATATCAGACATTGCGCTTCGCCGAGCTGAGTCGAATGGTGCCCTTAGATTAAGAAGTCGTCCACTCTAAGGCGAGATATGGTCACGTTGTGGTGATGTTACATGAATTGGGCAAGCAGTATTGTAGTATGGAACTCATACAAACGATGCTTGCAGATATGGCAGTTAAAAATGTGATGCATATAATCAAGTTGATGATAGAGTTGGTCCTGCTTAGTCCCCGTACGCAAATCACAGTGGAACTCAACATTTAACTTATACAAAAAATTGTTTTCTATTTTCACAGTTGAAAGCGGGAAAGCACTAGAAGGAAGTGTTTAGGCTAAACCTAACCCCTTCCGGCTAGTGTCGATCCTGAATGTAGGCTCCAGAAAAAGGGCATCTGCTTTGGTCCGGCCTTCTAACGTTGTCTCTAGATGGAGATAAGGGGCCTGGAAGTCCCTGGGTGGGCGGAGTCTGATGTCAGACTCCCCGCTGGCCTGCCGAGGGGGACGAGCGATTCGAAACTCGTTCGCGCCCAGAGGGTCCCCAAGAATTGGGTTTTTCGTGAATTTTGGAGAGTTTGAAGTTCGAATTGTAATCAGGGCCACGGAAAGGCCCCAGAATGACTAAAACATGGGAGACCAAATTCTGGGTAGACGCTGCCTCTAAAACAACACACTTAATACCCTTACATACTCCTACCTTTTCTCAAAATTTGAAATCGTTAACATTACTATCTAACAAAGGATGGATGGCTGGTTGAAGCATCGTTGCTATGATTTTCCTAGCGTTTAAATGAGGCACTGGAGGGTGGATGTAATTATCTGAGAATATTTATTGCAAAAAGTGTTCTGATAACTATAATTGCTCCATTCAAGAGCTAAGAAAATGCCAACTATTTTTATTCTATTAATATAAATCGATTTTTTTCTCCAATAAAAGCTCATAACGCAGGAACGCTCCGCAGATAAGAAAAACAGATTTTAAATCAGCGTTTTAAGCCCTTCAAAATGGCTCAAAACCAAAACCACTTTGACTAACCATCCTTCGTTGTGAAGAGGAATTACCTAAGTAACCTATGCTCACTTCCCGTCCATTCCCGGTCCCAAGCAGCAAAATCGCTTAAGCTATATACACACTCACAGCTCCTCAACTTTAAGTCCAAAAAATCATCTATCTTTCTTAAACACTTTAAGCTCAAAAGTCTTCTTTCATGCTGCACTTGTAGATGTATACAAAAAGGTAACATCTTGCAAAGGATGTCTCAAGACATGAAAGGCCATTTTGAGAGGCGTTCGAGAATCATATAGGAGCTCACAAGCTCTTGAGTTCTTTTTCAGCTGGGTATTTTTCATAGAGTTTTGGTCCAATGAATCCAGTGTAAGGAACTTCACACACTCGTCCAGATTGACCAAAATCAATGATTCTTTATCAAAAACAAAAAAGGTCTTCTTCTTGTAGTTCCTCCGAATCATCAGAGTATGATTCTATGAAGTACTATAAGCTGCATCCGCCCGCCCATATACAAGGTGTCCCAAAAGTCTTGTAGCCTAGTGTTTTTTCTAATATAAACGAACACATCACTGAAACGATAACAAATAAGTATTCGAATTTCTTGATAGCATTTTTTCTTGTTCACGGAATCCTTCAACCTGTTGGCGATTGCCATTGCCGTGGCACAGGTGATCATCATCAATTTCGTCCCAGGCCTCTTCGGCATTAGTTCCTGTCGCCTAAAGAACATGCGTAAAGCAAGGTTCCAGATACAACATACTATGAAGGAGAATGGTAAAATTTAGAATTAAAATTATATACCCTATTTTCAGGTGTATAAGCCGCGAGGTGGTCCTAGCTTACATCGACGACTTACACCGAACACACCAAGGGACCTCGCAACCAAAGCACCCTGCACTGTGCTGCGTATTGCCTGAAGGAATTGTGCGGCATAAGGATCGTTTCTCGAAACACAATGAAGCGGCTGAGCAGCTCGTGGGAAAATTGAAAAAGTGCGGCTTATATACCTGAAAATAGGGTAAATATGAATGCAGGCGTGTGTGGACCTCATGTTAAAGTTTTAGACACACTTGCGAGAAATGAAAACAAAAGATTGGCAACAATTTGTTTTGAAACCAGGAACGATATCCACGAAAGTTCCCGCGAAATGGGCTTTTCGTGCAAATAAAATGGACTTAGTCTATGCGGTGCGATAAGATATCGCATTCGCGAATCCATTCATCTATGTAAATATATAAAACTCAAAAACTGTCAGTTTGGAGGGTATGTGCGTTATAGAAACGGGCACCGCTCGACCGATTCAGTTGAAACTTTGCACACATATGTTTTCGATCCCTGCGCAGATGATAGGCACGTTTTTCTAAGGAAATGAGGGCTTATCATGTTTAGGCAAGCATTTTGCCATAGTCATATAAAGGAGAGCGGTGAAGCATATTTTCACCTCAGGATACGAGGATGCCTCGAAGCGGGTGCCAAGGTAAGTCATCCACAACATATAAGAAGGGGGAGGCTTGCAGTGCAGGTGACCAATGACCCGGGCTGGACCGGGAAAAGCCAACTAGTTCCATACAAAACTTCTTCAGCAAACCTTTCTCCAACTTGCCTCAACCTATTTACTTACTCTTACAACTCATTTCCACTAAGTGGTCGATCTCTAACTAGGCTGTCCTAATACTACATGTCAGTCACGTGGATTTTTTATTCTTTCCCCACTTCGTTATTCGTTACACCTCACAAAATACCATTCATTGCCGACAAATATGCTCTATATTACTTTCAAGAGCAAAATATAATATCCGGGCCTTCCCTTTTCGAGACTTCTACAGATCTGCATTGAATCAAATTCGTATGTAGAGCTTTCTGCGGAACGCAAACTTTGGCTAGACTTGCACTGCAACTGTGAACCACTCAGACAATCGCCGGGGGCAGGCGGGCACCGGAAAAATAAATTGCTGATCTCTCGCACCCCGCTCGCGGATTTTTTGGAAAACAATCAGGACTTTTCGGAAGACCGCTTGCTGAGTTCTCGATTTCTCAGAGATTCAGCAATATATCTGCAAAAGATAAGAGCGAAAAAAATTCAACAGGCGGTCTCTCAAAAATCCGCTGACTCAGCAAGCGGTCTTCCGAAAAGTCCTTATTGCTTTGCAAAAAATCCGCGGGCGGGATGCGAGAAATCAGCAATCTATTTTTCCGGTGCCCGCCTGCCCCAGCGATTGTCTGAGCAAATGCTCATCTTATAGAAAAGCTTTTACTACACTACAACCCAAAGGGTTTTTTAAGTCGGAAAAACTACGAATCTGCAAAAGATGACTTCGCAAATTTTCTGCTGTAGCTCTTCTTTGTCTCTCAGCATCAATGTTCATATCTCTAACTGTAAGTAGTTGAATGTATGGACTACTGCTAGTAGGAAATTTTCACAGAAATTTTCTTGCAAGCTGCCATTTCAGTAATTCTTGCGACCAAACTCAAAATCGAATTTGAAGTGCCGTCTTTGAAGTTCGGTTCTGCGAGATTAGTCTAAAAATAGCTTCTGAGTAATTATGTTGAAACGCAAATCTTTTTTATTTTTGAATACAGATCATGAATTTAGTTTTGGTTGATAATTTGAAGAGTTAACAAACTTTATTTGATTAACATAGGAATTTCGCATCTATCGTCGATTCGTTGGCCATACGGACTGCTCAAACGCTACGGACCACGCTCGGCGCGGTTAAAATGTTGCGAGAGCACGATTTTAACAATGGCGAGTTTGTATCGGAGCAAACGTTTTACATCGCGGCGCGTGCTCCGCGGTTATGTCCAGTCCGTACGGTCAACGAATGGACGATACCTGATATGTGGGAGCATTTGAGTTTGTTAGGATATATTTCGGTGAATTTAACCTTCTTCCATGATTTTTATAGCGTTTGTAAAAGTTTAGAAAGAAACACTTATATCACCCTTCATAAAAGAGATGAAACTTTTCCCACTCACTTGCTAGCTTAGGCTAAAGAACACATTCTCAAAAAATTGCCATCAAAAATATGCAAAAAGGTCAAACTGGGCTTAGTCCCAGCTCATCTTGCTGCTGGGAGTGAAATGGGTTTCAAGTCCATTTGAAATCGAGTTAAATCCCATTTTGCCCCATTCTAAGTGGACTTTTCGCTTGATTCTTTCGCAAGCGAGAGCTCAAGTAGGGTAGAATCATTTTCATCACACCGCGTTGCCCTCGTGGTCGCGATAAGATAAAAATTTTTGGATAACGTTAGCAAAAGCAGATTCCGACCAATTTCCACCGCGAACGAATAAAACAGGGTTTGAAAGTCCATTTTCCTCCATTATGGACTTTCGTGGATATCATTCTAGATATCTCATTAGTTGAACTAGATTCTCATCTAGAAAACATGTGATGTTTTATTTTGGATCCAGTAACTGCTATACTTTCACGGATTTAGGTTTGATTTCAAAGACAAACTGACTGTGGCACGCATTCAAAGTCCTCCAAGAGTTTTTGCCCGTCTCCATGAGATATTTTTTCAAACGCATTTATTATAGTGAGTGTAGAGCCTTTTCTGTACGGTAAAAATAAAATCGTGGCACAATATTTCAAATATTAGGTTGTCCTAAAAGTTCTTGCGCCGGAATTTCAAAAAATCATAACTTCCTTTCTTCTCAACAATTTTTCCCAAAATTATTTTTATATGAAAGAGGAAACCTTTTTCTTTATAGCGGTGCTTTTGCCAAGAAGTAGTATTGGTAAGTTCGAGAGTTAAAAGCAATTGAAGGAAATCAGTCAAGATCGACATTTTTCAAGGTGGATCACGAAAAATTCTGCAAGTATTTTTATTTGATAGAGAAAATTTTGCACATTGCAGTGGTACCTTCTTCATGAATTAAAACGAAGAAGATCGAAAGTTAGAAGCAAATAAAGAAAATTTCTTCACTTTTGCAATTTTTGAGCATGCTCAAAAAAGCTCGAAAACGTCACAGAAAAGACGAAAAAGTCATAAACATGGGTTTTGTGACCTTGCCTTTCTAGCTGAGTGAGTTTCGAGCTAATCAAGAGCAATTTTGATTTTCATGAAAATCGCAGACCCGAAAATCCGAATAAATCACGAAAATCAAAATTGCTCTTGATTAGCTCGAAACTCACTCAGCTAGAAAGGGAAGGTCACAAAACCCATGTTTATAACTTTTTCGCCTTTTCTGTGACGTTTACAAGCTTTTTTGAGCATGCTCAAAAATTGCCAAAGTGAAGAAATTTTCTTTATTTGCTTCTAGCTTTCGATCTACTTCGTTTTGATTCATGAAAAAGGTACCACTGTAATGTGCAAAATTTTCTCTATCAAACGAAGTTACTTCCAGAATTTTTCATGATCCAGCTCAAAAATGTCGATTTTGACTAATTTCATTCAATCGCTTTTAACTCTCGAACTTACCAACGCTAATTCATGGCAAAGGCACAGCTATAAAGAAAAAGGTTTCCTTTTTCATACAAAAATAATCTTGAGAAAAATCATTGGGAAGAAAGGAAGTTATGATTTTTTGAAAATCTGGCGCAAGAACTTTTAGGACAACCTAATACATTCAAAAATGGAATAAATAAACCCCGACAAAATAGATTTTTGCGCTCTCAGAAAGTGATAGCTCGATTCCGTTTTTTCCAAACATCGGAAATCATATTGGACTCGCGTAGATGTATCTTATGAAGAATGATTGCAGCACACTGTGGCATAAATGCCTGACTAACTTGCCTTCAAATTCCACAAACTGCTCCATTTCTGTTATCTTATATCATCATTCCACAATGGAAATTCCCCAGGAAGGATGTCATGTGCAAGATATAAGTTCCCGTCAAAGCAACAATATGCCCTTCAGAGTCATTTTCAGGCGACGCTGCCTGTATCGAACGTACACGGGACGAGTACTCATGGGTCATGTAGGCCTAAATTACATTTTATTTAGCACTGTCAAAAAACTGAAGAGTCATTTTTTATGTCTGTTCGAGAACGAGCTGCTTCCGTGCATTTTTGCACCTGACTGCATGTGTGTAAGCATGCATCTACGGGCGAGGAACAGAAATACAAGTAAGCGAGGCGACTCCGCACTCTTTCGTAAAACCACGCTCACTTTTGGGAAGGACCGCCTATTTGGCAAAAATGCTATTTGCTTCAATTTTGAGAAATCGTGGATATTTCGACATCGTTGAAAGTGAGCGAAGCTTGCCACCGAAGGGCGGAGTTTACAAAGCGGAAAGGTGGGGTCGAGATTTAAGGCAATGTCTCACCAAAATTTGGTCGTTGGGATTTGCATGTTGCAAGCCTTTTCGTGCTTGTCTAATTCAAAGCGGGTCCAAGATCACATAAGATGCAAGAAAACCGTATTTTTCGAAAGCTCCCACGGAAGCAACGCGGATGAGTTGCGCCTTTTCAGCTTAGCCTTCGTTAGGCCCCGGACAGGCTTCACGCGACTTAATCGTCGCGATCTAATCGCCAAGATTTCCATTCATTTTCATTTCACATTCAAAAATTTCGGGCTGGAAAAGTATCACAACCGAATGCAAGTTGATCGGCATGGAATGATGTTGTAACAGCTGTCTCGTCGCGACTCAGTCGCGACGATCAAATCGCGTGAAGTCTGCCCGGGGCCTTACAGTGACAGCAACAGCATGGAGGTGGACGTGAAGTTGAGGGAGATGTTGAAAGCGTAAGGCCTAAGGCACACACCTCACGCAATTTCACCCGCAGCGCGGTCTGATACTGTAACACCAGTCATAATTAATCGGAAGCGCGATTTGCGTGGCCCAGGCTTCATGCTTTTGCATCAAATCAAAGAAGCTACGCGCCAATGTATTTGAGACCCGTGTACTCCGTAAACAATTGGCAGGTCGCCAAATCGGGAGGATGTAGCGATTGACGAAATAGCGGGAAAAGTGTCCTAGGCTAAGGGGCGTCCCGGAAGCGCCGGCCTTGCGAGCAAAATCGCGTTTTGTAGGCCACTTCGAAGGCAAATTCCTCGGCGTATGAGGGCATGGAACGGGTGAGATTTGAGGCGGTCGCTTGTCAGAGGGTCCTCTAACATAAAACGCGGAGACCCGCACTACCTCAATTTTGGTGAAATATTAAATTTGAAGTCCTTTGAAGTTGCGGTCATCTACAGCCTTTTCTAAGCAACGTGCAACAATAAAATCTTTGTTGAGAGCAACGGAGTGGGTGGGGTTACAAAAGGTGTGGGCTAACATAGAATACCGCTCAGTCTAAGTTGAGTACATAAACGCAGGTTTAACAATTGAATACCTTAAAATTAAGAGCAGATGGCGCTTCACACCATTCTGCGGCCTCGTCCACCGGGACAGACAACCTGTCGTGCACCATTCCATGGAGGTGTTTTAACGAATTAACTTGCTCATTTCTTCTGCTCGTCCAGTCATGAGCAACAGATCTTTTGGCTCTTTCATAATAGATAATCGAATATGATGATTTTTTAACTGCTATCGATGCATTTATGCAATCTGATGCGTTTCGATCGGTTGTTTTCCATTCTCCTATTTCATGGCTTTTCCCCATGACAGAAGACAAACACCGCTTAGTCTAAGTTGATTACATTGATGCAGGTTGAACGACTGCATACTTTAAAATTGAAAATACGAGGTGCCTTACACCACTGCGCGGCGTTAATCACAGGGACAGACTACCTGTCGTGCACTACTGCGCAGAGGTGTTTCACAGTGTTAACTTACGTCATTTCTTCTGCCCGTCCAGTCATGAGCAACGAATCTTTTGGTTCCTTTAGCATAGATAATTGAATCTGATGATTTTTTTCGAAGCGATCAATGCATTTCCGCAATTCGATGCGTTTCGATCGGTTGTTTGCAATTCTCCTTGTTCGTGCATTTTCTCCAACAAAAGACATTTTGTCATCAGAACTTCCTCCACTTACAGCTCGTTATCTTCCCTTTCTTGCTTGTAAGTCATCACACGATACAGCCTGTGGGGAATGCCCAAATTTTTGCCGGGGGCAAACGTAAGTGTTAGTGGCGAAGTTTTATTTTTGTCAGCAAATGACAAGATCCGGTGATAAGCATCTAGATACGTTTAATTGACTTGATTAGTAAAACAACGGGACACTTTAAAAAGGGCTTAGCAAGTCCGTCAACTGCTCCCCTTTGTGCATTCATCGAAGAACTCCTGACGCTGCTACCATCAAAATAGAAAATTTTCGATCAAATCTGCAAAAAAAAATATGATAGAAAAGCTCAAATTTATACTAAACTGACCGTAACATTTTATTAGGTAAGTGCCAACATCACAATTAATATCTCGAGCTGTTCATGGAAGACCAACATCCACTCCTGATGGATACTCCTAGCGGCATCTCCCAATGTTTTGCGACGCAGCCTTTTGCTGAAGTAACCACGGTTCCATCTTCACTACCCGAAAAAAAGCCCTTTAGGGTTGAAAACGAATTAACTGTAACTAACCTGTAAGCAGGATATCAGGTTCAAATGGTGAGCATTGAGCATCAGTAAGTTCTCCATGATAGAGTGCAAAGCATACATTGCTGTTAGAACTGAGTGTCATGTATTATTTGTAAATTTTGGAAGAAGAGAACAGTGCAAAAAGGGAAAGAAACTATGTTGATATGACGAATTCCAAAAATGCCAAAGCGGTGATACGGATTGACACCATTATGGATTCTTGCAAATTCGGCGCAAGAGAGCCCTACTGCCCATTTTTCACCGTCAAAATCCAAATCATAAGCTTCTAAAATATATTGAAAACATATGTAAATTTTAGCAACATTTCTGTCAGTGCCAGTACCAATCCACAGAGGCCAAGCCATCATTAGGACACTCCGCATTGATTCAGAAAGAAATTTTCTACTTTGAGCGTGAAACTGATTGCAATTGTATTATGAAACGTTCATTCTCGCAAACTCAAAATTGAATTAAGCACCTATCACTTGAAAACCGTACTTCTTAATTTCTTGCTTCCTTAATTTGATATTCACCTCTTTCTCCAGCTTCGATATTACAGTTTTTAGCATTTCTAGCGCTTTCGTTAGCATTCATCTTCTAAAACAAGTACATTCGCCTTATAAATTATTAGTAAGGAATACTTCCCCATGCAACACGGAACTACGTTTAGTTATTGATGCTAAAGGATTATTTGCTATCCTTCTTGGGCTCTTTAAAATTTCCCTTGACTTGGTTCAGCAGATTATCTGACTTGCTATTTTCATAAATATACCATTTTTCAAAGCAGGCATCTCTTTCGTGTGGTGATCTTACGTACACGGTGAAGGATAAAATCATAGATTTTGCTGGAAGGTCAAAGACGTCATTTGCTTGGCTATTCATGAAAATCAAATCTTCTCGAATTATTCTGCCTTTTCCAAAGATAGGCAGGTACGGTATGAAGTCCAAATTTTGCGTTTCCCATCTTGATCCAGGGGATTCCCTTAGCTTGATCCAGGACGTTCAATAGACATATTATGCTTGTTCGCTTGCTTGGCACTTTGAATATAATTATCGCATTTGGTTCGTAAGATAGCGGCATCATCTTGCATTCCGGAAGGTATAGCGTGAATGTCTTGATATTCCATATGTGGGCAAAGTTTTGCTTAGAGCGGTCTTCAGTACGTTTAATATACATATGGCGCTTGTTCGCTATATTTGAAAAACAGTATTTACAATGTGTAAATCATGTAGAATTCTATGCATTGCTTTTCAGCTAAAATATGAAGAACTTTCCCAAAAAGCCTTACAATGCAGAATGTAAGCGGTTTTTATTTGTGATGAGCATGTCAGAGAATCCCTTGCACGAAGTATCAGGCTAATATACAAATTTGACCGCTTACCGTATACAGCAACTGTAAAAATGTCCGAAAAAGCAATATATCATGCTATTCGTACTCAGAATGCTGAATGCATCTATAGACAAGGTTTGGCTATCAGAGTTTCGAATTAATTTTCACCGTAATCGAAAAAAATCGAACTACCTCGTAAATTTTGTGCGATACCCATGCTCAGCGTAACAACTGACCCGCCACTAAACGAACTTTCAAGAGCAGTGTTTTTTACAATCACCGTATTTTCACCGTAACCATGGAGGAGCCCTTTTCGTACTGAGGGATTGTGATATTCATAAACGGAGTGTGGAAATGACATCAGTAGACAATCCAAAAACAAAACTTTAAAAAATTTACTTTAAACGAATTTTACGGTCAGGATAGGCAGAAAATGTTGGCAGCTACGTTTCAGATATGAACCTCAAATCTACGACATGGGAGCCAAATTAAAGTTGATAAAAGCAACCAAGCTTAGAATTGTATTGATTCTTCAGATGGAACCATACATTTCTATTCAAAATTCTTATTAAGGTAGAAGTAAAGAATAGATATTGAACTTGCTGATGTTGTTGCCGAGACAGCAAATAGATTTATAGTTTTCATTTGTGTAATGCGTTAGCAAAACAAAACGCGAAAGGCAGAATCTGAAATGCAACCTATACGTTGGAAACAACGCAGTTGCCAAATAGTTCTTCCTGTACAAAGATTTAGGAAATTGTGGGATTCGAGTGAGACATGAACAGCAGAATCTAAGAAGCATATCCGTTGCAGGTGTGCAGCAAAAACTGTTTGCAAACTGTGATATGTAATTGTCAACAGTTACGAAAGACGGGGATAGCACTTGGCTCGTATATAATGTTGCGAAAGCTTAGCTAGTCACAGCTGCTTGGCTGGGACCAAGCAATAACAACAGAGCGTGTTGAAATTACAGTATACTTGGCCAATGTCCCACTGACTAACGCTGGAGTTATACGCTTAAGAAGAGCAAACAGTACTAGGTTCGTACAAATTGCGAAAGCTTGGATAGTGTCTCTGCTCGGCACTTTATAACTCAAGAAAAAACATTATTTGTAACACCTTCAAAAAAAAACTAAATTGTTTTATTCAATCATAGGCTCAAGAACAAAGTTTTAATGGGAGCGGTCTTTTCGCACAGGCGGTCTCCAGAGTCTCCCTGATTTTGACGTGTCTTAACATGTAGTGCACGCCGCAAACCTTTCCTCCCCCTGTTTTGCTCAGGCAAAAGCCGCCGCAGGGTTCGCGCGCGGCGGTGGTCCTGTGCGGAAAGCATTACGGTCGTGCGAATCGTCCTACACCCAGTTTTAATTCTCAAAAAAAGTGTGACAAAACTTTGTTCCAACTGGATAATGTTTATACAAAAAGTACCACTTAGAAAATGTGCTTTCTATCAGGTTTTCTTTACATTCAGTTGAGCTGCAAATTTAGTATACAAATTTTTACCATTCTAAAGGCTCCCATTCGTATGGCAATAGTCCTACAGAATGGTTACTGAATCTGCCATCTTCGCTGGCACCGTGCTGGAGTGGAGGCGATGATGAAACAGTTGTGTGATCAAAGGATCAAGATAATCTTTTCTGCTTAATCATCTACATAGTATGCGGATATATTGTAAATATTGTACGGTGTATGGCATATCAACAATCCAAGTGTTCAAAGGTGAGGTGATTTAGGTGATTAGGTGATTTCCAAATCCATCTGCGGCCTTTGTGGGTTTTTAAAAGGTGGACATTGCACGAATACGACTTCACAAAATTTGATGATAATTTGACCTCGAACGCTTCTATCTGTGTTATAACCACAGCATCCGACTGAAGTCTCGTCGACACTTAATTTTGTGCCGGTTTCGGTCTCCTAGAACAATATATCATCTGCTGTTCGCTTTTCGAACTCATGCAACCTTTATTACTTTAAATTAGGCTCTGAAGATTTGTTCTGCTTCGCTCCTCTGTTCATCTTTGTATGTTCATCGTACGTTTCTGGAGGTTTCTGGATCCTTGCCCATTTGATGCCCAGGCTCGAAATTCTTTCACTTTTGAACCAAAACTCGTAAATGAGGTTAAAGTTATTCCCGAGGAAGCCTATGCCGGGGGTCCTTGATCGTCTTCGGAGTCCAGCTTGAAAAAACTGATGACCACAATATGGCATATTCGTCCATTTCGTTCCTCTCCAGCGTAACTCAGTTACAGCCAAACTATCGTAAGTCGCGCTTCGTTGGCTAAGCGCCTCACGTTTCTAATGTGAATAACTCCCGGTAGGGCTTGTGGGAAAAAGTCGGAATGAATGACAAACCGAGGGATGTGTAGAGGATGAACTCCACATTAAATGGAACGAAATATTTTAACCGAAAAACTCTGGCACTAAAATTAAGTCACGATATCGCGCTTCAATGTCCCATATCCCCTCTTCCACTGGATACCCTTCAAGGGCTTGCAGAGTCCGTTTTCAGAACTTAGCACGTGAATGGCGAGGAGGGGGTGGGAGAGAAGGGGGTGCTACGATGCACTTGCAAGGTCTACAACCTAACACCACCAAAATCTGACAAAGGTGCATTTGTGCGAACCACTGCCTTTAGTTTTGAGCAACTGGTTCAAATTTCCAACATAAACCTGTCAAGAGGAGCGAACAGCGAGCAGTTGTGAGAGCAGTCGTACTCAGGAAATTTTGCTGGCGAGGGGGGGGGGGGATCAAAATGCCAATAAATCATCTTGAGCCATAAGCATGGATTATACCCAGCAGTTGCGAACGCTAGTTTGATGCACAATACCACAATCTTTATAGATATACTCGTACACAAACGACAAGGAGTAAGAAAACCGGTATCCTAGCGGATTCAGCTCCTAGAGAAGCTGGTATACTTGTGATTGCTTCAAGAATTGTGAGATACATGCACATATTTCGAACTAACAAAAACAAGAATGCACAACAATAATAGAGAGAACAAATCACAGTAGGGTAGCTCAGATGAAAGCAAATTTTGTGGTAACAAAAAACGAGGAAAGGCAATTTAATGAGCATCGACCTGATGAGCATTTGCAACATGTTGTGCAGCTTCAATATCTGAGTGGAAGAAAGCGCTTGGTATGTCTTGACCATAAAATATCTTATTATTCTTGGCCACAGCTTCGATTCTTTTCAGCTCCAGGTATTCACTAAATTCCATTATAATACTTTGTGAAATGCAAAAGCTGTCAGAACCAGATAGAAAGGAAAAATAGAGCTTACGGCGTCAGCAGCAACCGATTTGCCTCGGCCTCCCTTTGTGCGCGGTAGAATTCTGCATCAGCCTTTGCTTTCTCCGATGCTAGAAGAACTCACTTTCAAAAGCGAAAATACGCAGAACCATACAATGATTGAACTTCGCAGAATCAAACAGTTGAACGAAATTCGGTTTCCTCAGCAAAATAACTTACCCAGATGGCTTTCGTCTTCAAGTTGACTAATCTTTTTCTGTGTTTCCTTTTCCGCTATTGTTTGCTTGTGCATGATAGCAGCAACCTGTGCCTTCTTTTCAGCTTCTAAAAAAACAGATTTCGAAGAAATTGGCAAAAAAACAATGGAGTTTACTACTCACCTATGACAGCCTTCTTTCGCTCTGTTTCCGCCTCCTTTTCAACAACTTTCTGATGTTGAGTGGCAACTAGTAGTTTCGTCTGTAAAAGAGGGGTTTTCACTGTAAAGAAAGAGATGTTGCCTGGAAGTGACCTTTTCGGCTTCCATTTGTTCGTAATTATGCCGTATCGCTTCTGGTATTTTGGGTTTCGTCACCCGAACTGCTTGAACAAACAATCCTGGTGCCATTACTGTCAAATCTTCTTGCAGCGCAGTCTTCAAATTCTCATCAATCTGATCTAAGCGAAAAGAATCCGATTTACATCTTGATAGACAATATTTTATTTCTCACCGAACAAGTCGATGTAGACTTCCTGTAAAGAATGACTTGAGCAGAACTGGTTAACTTCATGATGGACCTTGTTGAAAATGAGAGGTTTGTCATAATCAACTGTGTAGTTCTTCACGATGTCATACACTGAAAGATTGCATCTCAAGCAAACAGTAACAGAAAAATCTTCACAAACAACAAAAATAATGCACAGTTTAGATCAAAGTCGGAGCAAAACTAACTCGTAACCAAAGTAAAACTAATAACTCGAGCAAGCTCGGCATATTCGTCCTTAAACAACAACTTACCGCTGCTTGCACTGAGAATATTGACGACTTCGATCCTGTCAAAGTATATCATAACACCTCCGCTGGTACCACAAGGCACGTTTTTTGCTTCATCGGTTTGCAGAGTGACCTAAATAGACGAACTACTTCACAAAGCAAGTGTGGAACCCCCATGCGTAGAGGGCTTCGGGCATAGTTCACGCGATTTTTACGCCTGGCGATTTTCCCGCCAAGACGACTGTTACGAGTTTGTGCATGATTTACCTTGCATTTTGATTGCGACAGTTAGTCACAAATCGTGTAGGAGAACTACCACCACCGAAATGCAGGAGGATCGGCATGCAATGGAGTCGTAACAGTTGTCTTGTTGAAGGAACTGCGAGGCGATCAAATCGCGTGAACTCTGCCCGAGGCCTAAGTCACCATTGAAGTGAATTGTCTAAACGAGTATAGGCTTAGTTTTCATCATGTATGTGAGAACAGAACTCTGTTGCACTTGAGATTTTATTGCATTTGCGATGCCAATCCAGGGTAATTCCTCATTTTTGAACGCTAACAACAATTGCGCGTAGAAAATGGCGACTGAGCGCACATCTCCAAGTTTTCCTTGAGACCATCATTGCGCGCAAGTGTTATCAGCAATACAGATCTTCATCAATAAAACTACACTTTCAGCATGCTTAAGTCTGATGAAAAAAAATCATACATCTAAATCAACCTAATTACTACAAAAGCAAAAAAAATGTACTTAAGAAAAAATGCTCACCTGGACACTTTTGTATGAAGTAACAAAAGGGACCATAAGATGATATCCAGGAGCGCTGACTTTAGTTAGAAGAGCGCCTCCCTAAAATAGTGATCTATTCGTCCTCAAAAAAAACTGGTGTTTTTGTGCTTACCCTAAAGTAAACACCGACGTGTCCTTCTTCGATATGATGCAACGACGTCAACATGAGAAGTGATGTTATACCAAAAACCGCAAGCAACAAGCCTGGCGGAATCATCCTCGGCTGCAAGAGACTCACTCAAAATAAAACAAGTCTGTTGCTTTTTTTCTTTTGATGAAGATCATCGCTTTGTCGCTGCATCAGAACTTGTATAACACACCAATGACGTACTCAGCCTGTCCCAAGCATCTCTTGCGCATCAACGCGTCCACTCCGCTGAAGTTCTGCGCGCAGAACGCTGGCATTGTGCCAGCTAGAGGCGAAGGTGAGGGTAGAGGAACTAAACCTTTACAGGAGCCGCCTCCACGAACTACTGCATCTAATACGGTATGGCCTAGCATCGCGAAACACGCGTGATTCGCAGAGATTTGCTCAATTGAATTAATCGTTCCTCTACCCCCAAGAAGAAGACCTAGGCACGCTCCGCCACTATATTACACATGTGCAGTGCGGTACGGCGCGAATCGTTGCAAGGCGGACACGAATCATCCCACTTCTGGAGAGTGGAGTGATACAGACTACACTACATCAATCTTTTTTCAGCTATCGTTTGTTCCCCAGCAAGGTTCCCATAGGTACCCATCATCTCGCTGCCTTTCACACTTTCAAACGTGTTAACCTCGGGCACTTTCGTTGAAATCTTAGGATAAACGTGTCAAAAAGAGCGAAAGGCAGCGTCGCACCACGTACGCACGCTGGTTCACATGGGAACCTCTCTGGGGCGCAGACGGTATGTGTTCAGACCAGGCCCACTGTCAATGCACATACAGTCGAGTAGATTTCCTGCTTAATATAGTGTCCCTGCAGACGCGACAACGCTGGGGCGTCAATAATTGTCTTGCGAGTTCCCGAGCTAGTGTTTTCCAGTGTTTTCTTCGCTTATTCTATGCTTTTTAAGTGATTTCGTTGCTGATATAGAAGAAAAGGGTAAGTTAGAGAGTAGTTTCTGTTTTCTAAGAATTCTATCATCGCATATTCACAGATATCCACGTTGAAGCAGTTCGTGTCAGCTTCTTGTCTATTTTTATGTCACTTCACATCTCTTTCTTCTTGTGAAGTACTTTTTTGAACGCTAGTGGGTTTTTACTATTGACTTATTGTCTTTATCACATAAATTACTTGATTAAAATGCTATTTCTTATGGGTGAAAGCCGAAGTTGCTGCAAGACAAGCCAACTAGCGTTCAAAGAAACGCCTCACAAGAAGTAGGAGGTTTGAAAGAAGAAGAAGTAACAGAAGAAAAGAAATGACAAAAAATAGACAAGGAGCTAACGCGAAATGCCTCCACGTGGATATCTGTGAATATGCGATGATAGAATTCTCAGAAAACAGAAACTACTCTCTAACTTACCCTTTTCTTATTTATCAGCAACGAGTCAACTAGAAAGCATGAAATAAGCAAAGAAAACATTGGAAAACATTAGCTCGGGAACTCGCAAGGCAATTGTTGACGCCCTAGCGTTGTCGCGTCTGCAGGGACACTATATTAAGCAGGAAATCTACTCGACTGTAGTCGTACTCGTCGCGCACAGCGGCGGCTTTGTTTTTGTATTAACAGTCAGCGCACGCAGAGACTGGATGTACTTGCGTATCAAGAGACGCCGATAGCGTCCGCAATGACAGACAGGATTATAGTCCAGTCATCGCACGCACAGACATGTCTCTGCGTGTGATGAATGGACTATATCCTGCGGGATAAGAACCATGCTGTGTTAATGAATTCTCACCCCTTTTTGAGCTCTATCCACACTAAGAGGAAGATTTGAAGGAGTGAACGACTGGTTTGTCAAGACATTTCGATATCGCTCTCTGTGTGCGACAAGGATCGGGCTCCATTTGCGGTGGCTCGAAAGGGCCTAACTCCAAGATAGGATTCAATGCAACATGCTTATACTCCACAGACAGAACCAGGCACTGACTGAAGCTGCCTCCTGTGCTGACGTGTGCCAGCGTCGTGCCAGCACCATGCCCGCAGGCTAGCACCATTTCGGCGCCCATGTCGAGCCGCCGTATAGTGATCAATAGGCTGCAATGGCACAGCGCTAGCACATGTCTGGCACGGGAATTTTGGGTGCAGCCCAAGAGGCAGTTCTGCAAGCAGTGGTATGAGAGTAAAAAATTTAGCTCCAAATTTGCCAATATCATTTTTCAAATATTAGTCATCTCATCGCATCAATGGGTCTAACTCAGACAGTCGACGGCATACCTCCGGAGCAGAAATGGTCGAGCCGCGGGATATCCCCAGCTGGGGATTGCCACTCGTGCTCCGGAGCCCTCTCATTTGTGCTCCGGAAGACCTCCCATTTATGCTCCTAAATCCTCCCATTTTGTGCTCCGGAGACCTCCCATTTTCTGCTCCGGGGCCCTCCCATTTGTGCTCTGGAGACCCCCCATTTGTGCTCCGGAGCCCTGCCATTTTGTGCTCCGGAGGTGTTCCAAATCTGGCGCACTCGCGGCGGGCAAATCTCTGCTCCGGGGCTCTCCCAAATCTGGCGTACCTCGGAGCAGAGATTTGCGCGTCTCGGAGAAGGGTCCCATTCGCCTGCTTGTGACGCCACCTGACCTACAAGAAGGGACCGTCCCCTCGCCCCGCTCTCATTGGTCAATTGGGTCCTCCGCGGCTCTGCCAGATTTCGACTGTCCGCCGCGATTACGGCACCGACTGTCTGAGAAGAAGCGTGAGAAGCACTGCATAAAGGAAATGTGGAGATATTGACATATGTTCATCACAACATTGTTCAGTATTTGACACTTTGGATAATCGATGGTCAAATGTTTATGGTCAAAGTCAGAACATGCAAAATCATCAGAAAAACTGGCACCGTGAAAGTACATACCCACACAAAAACAGGCAATACTATTAAATCTATGAAAAAAAGACTGAATAGCTAGGCTATGCTGGTTCACTCCCGCTTTTCCACCTTCATATTAAATCCGATTTTTAATGAAGATATCGCTCCCAGGATCGCTATATGTGTGAAGAAAAAGGGAACAAAACACGAGTATCCGAACTTCTCGATGAGAAATGCCAAAGGTGATCCGGCTAGTACGGATCCAACTGAATCAGAAACATCGGCAAAACTGAAAGCAAACAAAAGAGGAAAAACTGGACTCACAGTTGGCGAGGAAAGAAATAAGAGCCGAAACAGCTCCAGATATATGGCTGTCGCCTAATTGGGATGCTATCATGCACCAAATATTGATTGAAGCATTTACAAGAAGTCCAAGAAGAAAGCCAACTATGCCAACGAACTCCTGCAAGAACAAAATTAGAACGCGAGATTTAAGCAACACAAGGAATGACTCATAGTTTTCGACAAGAGGGATCAAAATGTAGAATCGCGATAGTGTCCAGCGCCATTAATCGCAAGACGCACGCCACGGGATGCATTGATAACGTTTTGATATCAAAACCGTAATGTGAGTAGCGATAGAAATTGGAAATTTGGAAAGTTAAGCAGGATAGTACATATCTTTAATCATAGCGAAGGTGATGCCAAAAAAAACGTGATAAAAACGTAAGACTCGATATTGGTCAAGGCCGCTTTAACAGTTGTAAGATTCGAGACCAACGTTATAGGACTTACTACAAGGCATAAAGACTTCAAAAAAGCGCTTGGCGTTCCATCTATACCATATTAGGGAGGGGGGGGGGGGTGGAAGGGAGTATAGAACCAAAACAAGAATAATATCTTTGTACTTAATATATAAATAATGAAATTTTCATATCACGGTCCCAAATATTTATACACTCTGGGAGTCAAGGTTGCTCGAGGCTAGATAAAACTTTCGAACTTTCTACACCACACATACTTGAAAAAATACGTAGGTTTAACTTTCAAAAAAGACCGTTCCGTGCACAACTAGAACGAAAAGACGTACTGGGAAGCTTGACCAGACTTTCAAGACTACCAAAAGTTGCAAGTAAAACATAATGGCATTCTTTCACGCACCAGATATTTTATGCTATATGCTGCCGTTAAAAGAAGCAGTGTCGTGCTTCCCAATCCTACGATACGTCGAGCTGAGTCGATTGAGATTCGAAGACATAGATAGTCAAGCAGAGCACCAGAACCGATGTTTCCCAGTATGCTGAAAATTGTCTAGGTACTGACACTGTTAAAACTTTGTGCATGGAATATAGACATGTAATTAAAAGTTACCAAATAAGCTTACCCTCCCACTTCGTACAGCACTTGGAACGTGGCAAGGTTTATTCCATTCTCGTTGATGTACAATGGTATCCATGTCTCACACACTGTTCGCACCTAGACAGTAGCAAACAGAATAAACATTTGTGTGATTAAATGAGTGTACTCTTCTACAAAATGACTATTGTACGGCCGCTTTGAAATAGAATTCAAAAACTGGAAATTAACAAGAAAAAAATCGAATCAGAAAACAACACACCTCCATAGTAAAGAGATAGTTCATAGCTACGCTCCATATGACTGGAGACCAAATGAAAGACAATACATTCAAAGATTTTCCTTTGTTTGGCGATGAGAGCGTCACATCATCAGCTTGTAAGAAAAGATAGATAACGATAGAATATACCAAAGTTGCAATTCCTAAAAAAAAAGGTAGGCTATCAGATAGCTACAATGAATAAGCCCTGCTCGCTGAACTTGCCAGAACAGATCGACACTTTACGCCAGTAGAAATGGGCAAGTAATGGCAAAACGAGACCGGCAGTGGTACTACCACAACCGAGAAGAGAGAACATTTTTCCATACGAACCATCGGTGTACCACTGAAAGATTACAAGTAACTAGAATGTGTTGAGCTGAATGACTCACCTTTGCCAACAGTTTTGTAGCTGGAACCCATGATGCACCTTGAAGAGCACCAACGCATGCTAGGGCGAAAAGAACATGATAGAAGGATGAAACGTAACCTAAATTAGTGGGCTAAATATAGCCGGAACGTATTCATTGCCACAGATTCACGGTAGGTGGCTTAGGGTTTCGATACGTACGTAACTGAGGCATGGTAACCTGGATGAAATGTAACAGAAAATAATAGGAAAGAGCTGTAAACATGACAAAGCCGATTCAAAACGCTGACATTGACTTGAAAAAAAAACCCACAAAAAAGCCACTTGATCCGAAAGCTAGCGGCATCATAACGCCTACAGATCTGTTCTTTTCAATCCTTGAAATAAATCAGTACCCATCCATGTATCATAAACTATGCAAACTCGACTGGCTGACTTCAATATGCAAGCTGTGCAGCGCAGCAGCAGTTTATAACGTGACGACAGATTTGACCAACCTTTGCGCCCGCAGGAGCATAACACCATCTTTTAAAAAGGCATTACCAGAACGCTCAGCTCAGTCGCATCCAGTATCCAAGTACTATCATACCTAAGCAGAAAAACCAGTCGAGTAGAGATTAAAATTACGAAAATGCGGTCGCCGGAAGGTGCGTGCGTGTCGCGCGCGGTCGCGCCATCGTCACGGTTTTTCGAATGCTCTATAGCTTCAACAGCCTTCTACAACCAAAAAGAGAACAAAGAAAATACTGCCCAATTCTTGAATCACTACTGACCTTACTTCTCAGTAAGCATTCAGAATCTTTAAAAAAAAACTGAAAACTACCAATTTCACAAAACTGCAGCGATATAACAAATTATAGAGTCGTAGTCATGCAAACAACAGAAGCTCTTTCTACCTGCGATCGTAAGAGCAGTGATGGTAAACAAAATTGGGAGATTCTATAGGCCGTCCGCGCTGCGCACGGAGAGCGACGCTGTTGCGTACAATGAAGGCAGTTCACGACTGGAAGAAGCGCAGAGAAAAACAGGCGGCGAGAGTGCACGAGGAAAGAGTAGTACGCGCAATACACACCTTGCGCACTCTCCGCGCCCTGCGCGGACGGCCTATAGGTTCCAGCAAGAAAATTGACCATGAAAACCACCGGGAAATAAGAGGTAAAGGAAAGAATAAATTATTTCATAGATTATTTTGGATTATTTGATTATTAAAGTGTTTCATAAGTTTTGTGATCTCGATTTTCATCTGGTATATAACATAGCAATCCCAGACAAGCTGGTAGTCCGTAGCTGATATATGCGTTCAGCTTCCTATAAGAGTAATAATCAACGTACAGCTAAGTCCTTCCGCTTTTGATTTAAGTCGACTAGTCGGTTTAGAATTTGACTTTGTCAGACAATAGCTGGACAAACCTTCTACAATATTCTGCTCTATCAGAGCAGTAGCCAAGGCCTCAATGCTGATAAAACACTTATAACTCACCAAAATATGTCGTGCATAGACCAATAACGGCGAGACCAAATGAGATAATCCTGAGCGGTGAGACATGATCGGAAGCGATACCAAATACAAGCTTTGATACTGTGAAGCAAAAAGCTTGGACTGAGACAAGTTGTCCTAAGACGACACTTTGAATATTTTCACATGAAAGAATGCAGTAGCTAGTATCTACCAGCGATGACTCATTTTTACTATGAAGTAGACCGACTATCCTGAGCATTTATTTACACCGAAGATCACTTTACAGCAAAAGAGGTGAAGAAATCTGAACGAGATCGTTCAGCGCAACTCAAAACAATCTCCATAAAGAAAACGACGAGGGGCAACAACAAAAAATCACACTTCATTATATGAAGAGTTAAAAACAACTGACGCGAATTGACTAGACGCAATAAAAAAACCACATTGTAACTTTTTCGGTTAGCGTAAGAAAGAAGGCAATCGGAAGTGATAAAATTACAGAAAAAACTGAGCTTCATGAAAGGCAAATGTGCATTATTTTCTACAGCACTTAAGTAAAAGCAAAAAATAATTCCAGATCAAAACATTAATTTACAGCAAAATATCTCATGCAAAGTTTAGCCGTAAACAAACCTGTAAGAAAATAAAGAAGAAGAGAGGCTACATCTAGAAAAGACCCTCGTTCTTCCGCGCTCGTAACAAATCGCAAAATAACTCGTAAAATAAGAAAGCACAGCCAGAATTAGCAGCCGCTTTAATTTGACTTGGCCAAAGCCCTTTGAATAAACCGTAGATAGATTCGTTGCGAACGACAAGCACAATGGTTCGCAACATGCCGATGCCATAGTCTGAAGAATGACCAAAACCTTGCCGTGTAAAGCCGTTCATCTGCAGACGATGGCGCACCATGTCAAGAGGATAAAGCACCTGAACAAATCGGGATGATAGAATATAAATAAATTATAGAGGGATTAGAGGATTGGCGGAAGTTGTCAGTGATGTGCATTTGAAAAAATTGCATCAAAAGATCATAATGTAACAACCATTTTCTTTATCCATTTCCCACCGCCTTTGTTCCCCCGTGCGTGACTTCGAAATAACATTGATTGTAAAGAATGCGACGCGCGCGGTTATACCAGAGTCCGTTTGTAAACATTACATCTGCGATGAATGTAAAATTAGTAACGTGTACACGAAATGCAAGACGACGGCAAAAATCAATTCCCAATGTAAGCCTTGCTTAAAAGATAACCGATTGAATGACTACCATTAGATCTAAACAGATTATCTATTATTTCGCTTGTTATGTAATTGCAATTCGTCAATCAGGATAAGGAACGAAAAACTCCACACTTGGTTGTTACACAAGAACTTCTAACCTCGCAAAATTGGAGAACAATTAATGATTGAGAAGCGAAATAAGAGACTAGACTCACCGTTTTGGCAACAGTGCCAGCCATTGCACCAGACACAAGTTGTCCAGTGGACTCGTGATGATTCACTAACTTCGGCCATAAATCAACAAATAAGTTATATAAAGCAAACTGAAGCCCCGTGAATGGAGCGATCTGTGCTATGCTTGGTATCCACCCGCGAAAATATCCCAAAATGCCCTCTTTTTTCCATATGTGAAGTATTGCATGTGTTGTACCTAAAAATGGCACGAAATTCGAGTGTAAATTTTAGCAATTCCATTTTCATACCCCTATAAACAGAATTTCCAGCTTGGGCAACCAGTCTTGTACGAATCACATCTAGGGGCATTGCTGAAGTCATGGCAAGACATCCTGATAAACCGCCACATACAAAGTCAGCCGAATGTCTCAATGAAGCACTGCCGGGCGGTAAACGAGGCCCCACCTTCAACATTCCAAAATGAAGACATTCACCATCTTAGCTCTAGTGAGCGTACCTGTCTCGAGAGGAATTCAAAGCTGGAAAATTGAACTAATCCGTACATAGCGGACAACCCTTGCGCAGGTACATGCCCTTTCCAAAAAGATCGCCACCCTTCCTCTCGAAAGATTAACCGTATTGATTGTATTACACCCTCAATTATATACAGGTTAGAGTAGCAATAGAAAATCAAAACTAGGGTCAGTGCACCTTGTATTTTCCAGAATTTCTACCACGAATAGGTTCCTCTTGCAATTGGAATCGGATTTTCAACACATCAAGCGGTTGAATTATCATACGAGTGGCAATGCCGCTAGCCAATCCGGCCTCGCTAGAATAAATTTAGTCTCAGATGAGGAAATTTCTATGAAGACTTAGAATAGAGAAAATCTTTCGACCGCAGCAAGAATAATAAGTGCCGGCTCCTGGACTGGAGCATAGGGCACCATGAATCAACAAGTCTTAGCAAAGATTAAGTGATCAAATAGGCTGTTTCTGCCAATATGTCGAGTAGGAGAAAATGAATTACTTCTTGCTAACATTGTAATGAAGATCATATTCATTGACGCCATATATTCAATCAAGACTTTTCTCTTAGGTCAGCAGTAATTTTTCCTTCGCTCTTCAAAGCAGCGTAAGCTAGCAATTGTATAATAGTTGACTATAAGTCGAAAAAAGACGAGCATTCAGACAACTTTTAAGAGATTTTCACCCAGTACGATAGCGAGGCCCTTAACAAAGTCGCCTCCCGCTACTAAAGGAGCGAAGTGGATCAAGTACGGCGCCTGCCTAAGCTAGCAATCGATTGATAATAAACCAACGAGCATTCGGATATGTTAATATAAAGAACCTTTCGATAATGTAATAATTCAATCTACGACAGCTCAATAAAACCAAAAGGAAAGCAGGATATATGTGTAGAAAACCTGAACTCACCTATACTCGGTCGACGTGAGTTCCTTGCCATTGATAGGCTCAGGATTATAGCCGACCATGTTTCCCTCGTCGTCTACTTATTATGAAAATTTCGTTAGTTAAGCATAATATCTGAAAATGAGATACGACGTTACAAAAATCTGGCATAATGGAGAAGAATGTAGAGCGCAAAACAAAGTACAGAACTATCACATGCATAACAAGAAAAAATTAAGAAAGCCAATGCAGTGAGAATCACGGCAGTCGAGAAGAGCGCGCTACGTTTACATTGCAATACGTTAATCGTATTCGTAAATGGCAAACGGAGAACTAACAATACAGAACGAATGAAACACAGCAAAAAATGGCATTGCTAGAGCACGTGCGGTTTATTTTAGACTGTGAGCATAATTGTACCAGAAACGAATAAAGAAAGCAAAAAAATTTAAGACCCTCAAAATAGAAGTCAAAGGATATGTAATTCCGACTGGAACTCAGACATCAAAGAATATCATATGTCAACAGAGCTAATGCCATTGTCGCATACGAGATCTTTGAGGAGAAAGACAACAGCTGCCGTTGAGTCGATCGCAAATACCTCTACAAGCAGCACGAGAAAGCTAGAAAGCATCAGCTTGATGGCAAAGAACATGAAAAAGCTAGATAAATCAGACTTAAGAAATAGGTACAACTACATAATAAAATATAAAATAGAGAGATGAACAAGAAACTAAATTCCATTCTCACACTAACATATTTTTTACCTGATCATAGTAAACAGGGCAATCAATGAGAAACAAAGTTTATGAGTTTGATTTATAATGGTGTTTCTAAGTGGCAGCCATAAACGACGCAAACGCATTTTTTATTACTGAATCCTGAATAAAATCGATAGAAAGGGTTGTTCGGAAGGACTAAACAAACTACATCAAGGCTGGAAGATCGAATACCAGCTGCCTATGTTCACTAAACTATGGTGTAATGCAATTAGCCATGCAAATATTGTATAGGCTGCAGAAAATTTGAGCACACATCCAGCTGCTTGGGATATTTTTCCACTTAAATTCCCACAAATGGATCATTGGCAGCATTTCAACAGCAGTGTTTACTGTTCAAAATTATGAGGAATAACGATACAATTGGGATGCCAAGGCGTTCGAAGGTCATTCCACTGCGAAGGATGTGAAAATATAAGTAGCAGTACTTCCATCACATTCTTTAAATCAGAGAACTGCAAAATTAATCACCTCCAAGATGTCAATTCGCATTCAAAACCGGTCCTGGCATTATCCAAACTTGATTTCTGTTTGGTTCACCTCCAAATTTTCAATCATAACCGTTACAGAAACACGTGAGGTGTTCTAAAAACTAGTAACTCTAAAAATTTATGACGGAATGACTGGAGACTTTGGAAGCGATAATATCTAATATTTTGAAAAACGACAAGCAAGAAAAGATCAAGAGTTGTATAGCTCAAATGCGTAAATAAAAAAGAATATTCGTTCACCACAGATGTCATCGGACATCGGACGGCACATGTCACGCCCCATGACATTTCAATAAGCAGCAGTGTGAAAAAGGGACAACAGCGTGAAAGGACAAAATACATTCTTCACTTGTCGATTTCGAAGAGATAAAAAATACAAAGTCAAAAAAATTGGAGCGTCTACTAAAAGACACAATACCCTGGATAGTCGGTCAACTTTTACTTCACGAGATCATCGCTAGACAACTGGGAAGTTCTCTCACCAAAACTCACCTATATCCTCCCTGGTAAGAGGAATTTCCTTTTGCACTTGAGGTAGCAAAACCAATGGCAACCGTCGGAAAAGAACATATGCTACATATGCGACGAATATAAGAGTGAATTTCGCCGCTACAGGAGGTCCGACATCGCCACTGCTTCCCATCTAAAGCATGCAGAAACAATGAGAAATTTTAAATTATGCGACGAGAATCTCGACGAAGAAGGCGGAAAGTGCAAGTAGAGGGGAAAATCACATGCTGCCACTTTACGATGAATCAATCTAAATAAAGCGAGAGAAGCCAAAGTCGACAAAAACCATGGCGTCGAGGAAGTGTAAACGAATTTAGATATGCGCTGTCACGTGAACAGGCTTCTTAGCTGAGCACATTGCCAGATGAATATGATATTTTTCTTCAGCGTCAACAACAATGCATTATTAAAAGAAGAAAGAAAAGCGAGAATTTATGGCGAAGGAAAGAAAACTTTCAGGCACTGATGTACACGACGATGCTTTCGCAGCAGTGATAAGCAAGTGGGTCGTGTTTACAAAAGCATCCTTCAAGGATGTGTAAGAGATAGTGGAGAAAAGCAATCAGAACAATTACAAAGATCAAAACTGTCCAAAAAGACAAGATTTAGAAGGTAATTTTGATTGTGACTGTATATTTATGAACTTTTGCAGTACCATATTCGAATGATAGGTCAAAGAAGCAAACAACCGTAGGATATGTTCGATTCAAACAAACCTTTGGACGTCCGCCAAAGACTCGAATGTTCGGGATCACAACTGGCATGAATAGTGAAACATTTCGTACAGCTGTACAGGGATTGATAAAAAAATAAAACAGCTGAGCCGATGTTGGATGGTACCATCGAATCTTCGATATTTCGTATCAATCACGAGCAAACTGCTACTTTAGCAACGCGGTATCATCGACAGTGCAACTGAGTACACATGAGCTATCATCCTATTCATAAAAATCAACAGCATAGAAAGACACAAAACAAAACAGCATTTATCTATTATCTACTCAAAAAGCACCAAAAAAACCTCGAATCAAACCTCGAAAATGCAAATACTCGATTTCCGTGCACTTGACTTATTCCGTAGTTTTTGCAGCACCAACCGAGTCAAATCTCTAAGATTTTGAAATGTTATACGAAATATCGGTCACCTGCAGGAAAATTGAGACTAAAATTTCGATAGTTTCAAAGACTACAAATTAAATAATCACAGAAGAAATCTTGATATAAGCGTCATAAATTGCACAAGTCGCTAGCTCACAAAAGCCAAAAAGAATGTCAAAAGCTTCTCATCCCTCATTTATACGTGATGGAAACTGACTACACAACAAAGCACAGACATATCATACACATAAACATTCTAAACAACATAATGGAAGCACGTGAGAAAAGACACGTCGTATGAGTTCAATGTGGCATTTGTCATAAGAACAGCCAGCGCCAAAGCGCTTTCACGAGACCACTCATTCGTCGGAAAACATCGAAAAACGATCGCGAAGGGAAAAACTGATGGTAAGGGAACATATATTGGTATATGTACACGTGACGGGTAGCCAAGCATGTGGTTATAGCTTTTATCTAAATATCGCAGACTAGAGAAATTAGAGAATCTAGAGAAATTTACAGTGAGGAAAGATTTGCTCCTCTACAAAAACTCCAGTCTAATGGATTTAGCAAATCAATCACGTACTGATAAAAATAAGGTGATAACGTTTTTCCAGCATATTTTTAGATTCAAAGTTGGCCCATATTCAGTTTGACATTAGCCTGAGGGCTCTAAGATCCTCTTAGCATTGATGAGATGTGCAGAAAGAAAGTGATAGTCGAAAAAAATTTGCACTTTGACCAAAACGGCAACAAATGGAGACCAAAGCAAAAAAATTCTAAAATATCATACATTGTACACACTAAAATGCTTTCTTCTTCTCGAAAAAAAAACAGGAGAGTTCTTGTCACCCAACCGACTTTAACTGCGAATGTGTTAGTGCCACTTTAGTACAGACAAACAAGTCTGCACTGTGATGTAAAGTAATACTTTTTAAATGTCCTTTGCAAATTTCTGCAGCTCTTAGTGCAAAGGTACTGTGATGCGTATAAGACAGAGATCACTGTAGCATCCTAGTAATGGAAATCCTTACCTAGAACAACCTCGACTCTCACCTCTCACAAATCAATTGAATAGTCAGTTTACTTGAACCTTAGCTAAAAACTTGTAAAATAAGCTTTGGCCATAAAGTATAATCAACACATTGGATATGGAGTGAAAGAAGAGTAGGAGTAGTGCAGAAGTTGTATAAAAGATGCAAACCCGAAATTTTTGCGCAAAAGCCAGAAGAGAAGTGAAGCACAGAAGATTTCCCTCAAGTCTGCACAAAATACATCAGTGACCGATCGATTTCGTGGTGAGATAAGAGATACAGAACAGAAAACCAAATCACAACGGAATTTCCGATGTGCAAGTGTGCCGAGGTTATCGTAAAATTAACAAAGTCTCAGCTATTTTTAATATGAGAACCATGCTTAGGAAGGAAACCTCGCATTGATGCTACATACAAACTCAAAAAGAAAAAAGCAAACTGAAACTGAAACTAGAAACAACCTCAGAAAAGAACAACTCGCAAAACTTTGGCAACTTTTTCGATGTACCGCCCATTTCATTACGGTATTACGCGGTTCCGCAATCGCAGAACGCAATAAAAAACGTCTAGGAAAACAGTGGAAAAGTTTTCTGAAATGGTTTTTTGTTTCTTGTTTTCCTTGCTTCAAATCATTTTCATTGCATTTGTCACTTACTCATTCTTTTTCAGAATTAGTCTGTAGTAGGAATTGATGGTAGGCACATTTATTCGGCCTTTGGATGTCAGTGAAGACGTCACTTTGAATATCCACCAGGTTAGAAGGTCATCTTTCTATTTTCGTCCTCATAAACATCATTCAGGAATTAGAAAGCGACGTTGGCGGTGTTGTATGGGACAGTGCGCTAGTGGCAGCTCACTATTTTATCAGAAATGCATCGCAATTTTGTGGTAAAAAGGTAAGTGGGGTAAATTTTTTTCAATTTTTGGGAGCTCAGACAAATTTTGCATTAATGCCAGATTTTTGGACTTGTCAGTGTTTATCATTCATGCTAGAGTAAAGAGAAACTCTCGCTTTCAATATTATAAATCATCTAGAGCAACGGTGCTGTGTTTGTGTTCATTTAATTACAGTATAGCAGATTCGATGACTATAATGTCTTTGCGGTGATTACAACACTTGAGCGGACATTGCCATGCTTGTTATCGCCAATAATTTGCCCGTAAAAATGGCTATCAATCATTCATTCCCATTTTTACGCCTAAATGAAAATCATGGTTGATTGCGAAGATTTATCAGAAAATTTGATTCCATGGTTTTCAGCTTTCTGTCATCTTCGTATATTTGGACATACAATCTGTGTCAACGGCCATTTCCCTTTTCCGTTGGCGGCACAACTGCGCGAAAGCCTTGCGCCACGCTTACGGACATAGAGTGGGGGCGTTCAAATCTGCTTTATCGATCGGAATTTGCCACACAGGGTCCTCAGTCTGCGGACGCGTGTTCCTTACGGAAAAGGGAGTACTCGATTGACACAGATTGTAAATTAATTCAAATTCAATGTTTTACCAATACATGTAAACAATCACATCGTATCGTGTTTAGATCCTCGAACTAGGTGCTGGAACGGGTATTTGTGGTCTCACCTTGGCTGCACTGGGAGCTGATGTTGTCATCACTGACTTGCCATCACGTCTACCTTTGCTGTTGAAGAACTACGAGACAAATCGAACTCACCTCAGTGGCTCAGTAGAAGTCAATGCTTTGGATTGGTCTTCTCCAGGAGCTATTCCAAGTGTTGATGTGGTAATTATGGTGGATTGTATATATTATATAGACAGTATAGACTATCTCATCAAAACATTGACTCTCTGCAAAAATGCAGAAGCCATATGTGTCTATGAGAAGAGAGATATTGGTGAACCTGTGATTGCTCAAAAATCCTTCTTCGATAAGATTGTTCAATACTACGATGTGATTCTTGTGCCTGACTCTGAGCTTCATCCTGATTATTCTTGCTGTGATGAAATTTCTGTGATAAAGCTCATCAGAAAGTATATTAATGTACTTCTATCAGAGTCTGACACTGCAGCAATGTTGTCTATCCCTTTTCGAATTAGCTCGTAAAGCGCAACTTTGGTTTTTGCTAGGATGTATCGAGATCCATCGACATCTTCAAACTACGAAGAAATCAAAGTGACACATTATTTTCTTGATTGGAAAGTTGATTTTGATGAGAAGAAAATTACTGGCTCGACATCTGTCACTCTCAAGGCTTTGAAGTCTGTTGATAAAGTGGTAAGCTGCTTATCCTTGTTCCATCCACTGTATTACCATTTCGTTGCCTTTCATATCTTCCCAAGGAGCTTTCTTGCTTTTTTCCATCCGTTAATGAGTAACCTCTCAGATTTTCGACACTCATAGCTTGGAGATTTCTTCGGTCAAGCTAAATGGACAAGATCTCAAGTACGATGTCACGGCAGGGACTCCGATTGGAGAAAAATTAACCATTCACATGTCACCGCTATCAGAGGGTCAAGAAGTGTAAGTTTACCCTGTGCATTTGTTTTATGTGTGTGTCTCTTCGGTATGTCAAAATCTGGTATTTATCAAAGATTCTCCATTGTTTCTAGATTGAATTAAACTATTTTCCAGCTTTGATCTGTTACCATTTAGGAGGCTGGAGATCAATTACTCTACACCCAAAAATGCAGCTGCCCTCCAGTTTCTTGATAAGGAACTTACTGCTGACAAAAAGGTGGATCTTTGTTTGTCATGTAAATATCAAAAACGCATGTGCCCTTGCCTCTAAGGCACAAATATTTTACAAAGTTATCAAACATTCAGTCTTTAATAATGCTTCAGGCCCCGTATCTGTTCTCGCAGTGTCAAGCAATCCATGCCCGATCTATCATGCCATGCATGGACACACCTTCAGTGAAATCGACTTACGATGCAAAGGTTAGACCTTAGTGCTCTTTGTTTTGAAATACTTTCAGTTTTTGGCAATGTCAGGTGACCGTGCCATCTGGTCTGGTATGTCTTATGAGTGCCATCGGTAAAGAAAAGAAGGAAAATGGCGGTAACACTACGTATACCTTTAATCAACCAGTAGCGATACCATCGTATCTGTTAGCCATTGTTATTGGACACATCGAGAAAAGAGAGATTAGCTCAAGGTATCTTCGTGACTTTTCGATTATATTATTTCTATGTAGATTTCACTAGTGTGATAGATATTTCCTGGATGCGATGCACTTTCTTTTATGGACGAACCGCTGCTCATTATTTCCGTAGCTTTTCGCGGTTCATCCAGTGATATGTTAATCAGATCAATTTAGTTCAGACTAAGGCCCGTATGCACGTACGTCCCCGCTGGGGAGGGGAGGGGAGCTGCATCCCCAGGAGAACGATCCCCTTCGCCGAACCCCGCCATGACAGAGGGGAGGGGAGCGATCCCCTCCCCTGCACTTAAGCGGGGATGGTGTGAATGGTTTCAGAGGTATTGATCGAGCGAACCCCAGTGCATACGGGGTTCGAATGGGGGAGGGGATCCCTTCCTTTCCCCCACTCGAACCCCGTATGCGCGAATTCAACTCAATAACGCGGGGGAGGGGATCGACATCCCCTGCAACGAAGTAGGGGTTCGATGGAGTAGATCATGCCAGAGACGCGGATATTCTGGTTCTGCTCACTCATTACCAAGCAACATTTCGTTCATTTTGATGGAGGATTTTCTTTGAAAGCCGGTTTCTTCTCTCAGCGACCTGTGGCTTGCAATTTGTCTTTCTTTTCTATATTCGCCTCTTGAGAAGAAATCCGAGCAATAATAGCTGCCAATTTCGAATATTTGTAGGAGTTCTTGATCATTCAGAAAATTTGCGCATTTTTCATATAGCATAATAATTTTAACTATATAAGCTGAGTAAACACATTGTAACTTTCATATTTCATGACATGTTGCCATTATCTTGTTATTTTAACATAAGCTGCCTCGAAAAAATCTAGAAAGTAGCATATTTGCCTATTTCTGAGTAGAAATCCCCTGGGGAGTGATCCCCGCCCCAGCGTTCCCCTTGTGCATAGCAGGGATGGCTGCTGGGGATCATTCCCCTGGGATAAAGGCCTATATGCAGCTGATAGCTACAGCGTTTATGGAGAGCTGGCACAATTTGCAGCTTCTGTTATGTGTTAAAATACTGCTTCGAGCGTCCGCGCAGCACCCCCCCCCCCTTTTCGGCAGCATAACGTCTTCTACCCATTCCCTTGCAGAGATACATCAACTTCTATGGTTCAACATTTTTACGCTGAAATAGGGCAGCATGAGCGAAAGTGGGCAGCATCCGAGAAAGCAGGAACATAATGGAAGTAGAAAAAAACATTTCTAGTGCCCCGAGCGCAGTCACTGCATACGCGCATTCCACAACCCTAAATTATTGAAAGTGAGGAGATGGAGATGAGTTGCAGTCAAAATATGGAATAAGAAAGAGTTTTTCATAGAAAATTTGAAAGCAAGGTGATTTCCCCGCTTGATCCCCTCTTGTGCATAAGGGGGTTCACTTCCCCTCCCCACAGGGGATCCCTTGTCCGATATTGTCTTTGTGCATACGGGGGTTCGCGCGGGGAGGGGAGGGGATCCCCAGCGGGGATCATTTCAATGGTTAAGCGCACATCCCCTCCCCGCGGGGATGTACGTGCATACGGGCCTAAGGCGCACGTCGCGTCGCCACTGCAGCCGCACACGCTGCCGCTGCCGCAATTGCATGGCGGGCAATTACTGTTCCATGCCGAGAGCCGTATAGGCAATCCCCCCATGCGACTGCATATATGCGGAGTCTGAAGGAACCTTTAGCATAAATGTTTGTTTTAGATGTGCTGTTTGGTGCGAGCCTTCCATAGTGGACTCTGCTAAATGGGAGTTCGAAAGTACTGAAAAGATTCTCCAAACGGCCGAGGGAATAGCCGGTCCATACAGATGGGGAAGGTGAATGATACCTTACCACCTTCATTTTTGAATTCCATTACTTTAGGTACGATCTCGTCGTGCTGCCACCCACTTTCCCGTTTGGTGGCATGGAAAATCCATGTCTCACCTTTGTCACTCCCACTTTATTGGTAAGTTTCTGAATCCTTTGTCATTGTAGGCTCAATGTTTTTACTTTTTAGTCTGGAGATAGATCTCTGGTTAATGTTGTAGCGCACGAAATTGCTCACAGTTGGACTGGCAATCTAGTAACCAATGCTAGCTGGGAACACTTCTGGTAGGATCTGTCTTGTCATTTTCGCGAGATGACATCATTAACCTTAGGCTAAATGAGGGTTTTACCGTCTTTCTTGAGAGGAAAATCCATGGGAGGCTTCAGGGCGAACCCGAGCGACAATTCGAAAGCGAATGCGGTTATGATGTGAGCTCCTCCCTCTATGTACTGTATGTAAACGTTTTTTATGTGTGTAGGAAGCTCTCACAGTTGCCGTAAAGACTTTTGGAGATTCGCACGAATTCACGAAACTTATCCCCGATCTTCGAGGTGCAGATCCGGATGATGCATTCAGCTCAGTGCCTTATGAGAAGGTAGTTTTTTTTTTTGAGATATCTGAGGACTGAGACCTTTACCTGTACTCTTATACTGTCTCAGGGATCTGCCTTCCTTTTTACACTTGAGCAATCACTTGGTGGACCCGAAAAATTCGAGGACTTTCTGCGAAAATATATAGAAAAGTGGGCAAGTTCTTCTGCAAGTTTGCACTTTTTGAAGAGATCACTCTAAAATTTTCATCTTTTATATTCATTAGCTTGAAACAATCAGGTGTTTTGGGTGGCACATTAAGGTGCAGATTGGTGTCAGCCACTACACTCGTTTCCAGCCTAGTGGCGCCTTTGCTAGTCATTTGGATTACAAAAAAATCATATAAGCCATCCGGATTGCAAGTTCTTTTTTGTTAAGATTGTGGGAAACATATTTTTATCCCAATATGATCTATGTCCTTCGCTTTTAATATGAGCCAAAAGATAGTGAATCGGATTCCTGCCATGACGGAAGTTTGTGCTTGAACCATCCGCCGCTATCAGATTGTGCTTGGCGCCTAGCAGCTCATAAAGATTAGAAGTAGGATTGATTTATGATGGTCGAATTCTTTGGTAGTTCCTAATTTCTGCGAAATTTGTATTTTATATCATATTTATTTAGATAGACTGGTCCATTTGTACGAAATACAGTCTTTTGCGCTTACTATTTTTTTCTTGAAAAGATCGCGATTTTCATTCTTTTGCAATTTAAAAAAAAAGAACCTGTTAAAATTCTTAAGAAGGTTGTCGATCAATTTGAGAACGGAAAAGTTATTACAAAGGCGGAGGTCAGTTGAATCCTACGTTAAGAGATCCAAGCAGCTCTACAGAAATGTTAAAAAACTTTTCTCAAGTGAAGTTAATGAAGGAGAGGTGTCTTCTGTGCGGGGGTGGTGCAGGAGGAACCAAAGGCCTGCCGCCTATATCCGCAGGGGATAATTAAGAGCGCGAGCGCTGTGGAGAATATTTTGGCCAGGATCCAAGAAAACTTGGCAATGACATTCTGTAGGAACAAATCTTCATAACTTTGTTTGGAGATGACTTTTAAGAACTTGAAAAACAGATTTGTAATGCAAAATTGAAGGCACATTTACTGGGGAGAAATTAAGTGAAAATTCAGAATTGTAGTGGTAAAAAAAGTCAACTTCCTTATAGAAACGTTTTTTTAATGAGTTTTGAGGTTTCCACTAAAGCAATCAAATGTTGTAAAAATACGTCTGGAGGCTTGCATCAAGATGCAAGTTGCAGTTTGTCTCATAACTTCAAACCTATTCTTATTCTAAATTTTGACACTTAAGACTTCATAGGAATTGCCATTAAAACTATATCGGTAATCCTTTCGAGGTTGTACACAATAGCAGAAGTTCACCATATGCAACTTAGTTGACTGTATTTCCTGATTAAAAATCTCTACTTTCTCATCTTCAAATCCAGAAATTTTTCTAAAAAATTCACTCGAAATCTTTCACATAACACTGAACTTGAAAGTCAGTTTTAACGGTGAATTTTGAGGGCTCAGGTTTTGGTGAAAATAGAACATGAGTAGCGAAACAGAGTTGTTTATCTTTCCGGTAGGCGTATTACTGAAAAATGCGCCTTTCAATACTGATTCCAAATCTGTCCTTCGTGTCCTTGGAAGTTGATTCCAGGAAGAGTTATAACGGATTTTTCTAAGGATGTCCTCGCTAAGTAAACCTGGACCCTTGCCAAAATTTTCTCCACAGCGCTCGCGCTCTTGATTATCTCCTACGGCTACAGGCGGCAGGCCTTTGGTTCCTCCTGCACCGCATCCCTTCTGTGCCACAGAGGGAACCACAATTGACAATGAATTTTTTGCGTCGCGTTTTACGATTGATCAGTTGCAGATATGCTCACCAAAGCATAACCACAGACGTATGGAAACAGGAACTCTATTCGTATTTTGCCCATAAGAAGGATGTTCTTGATTCAGTTGACTGGAATAAATGGCTCCATGAACCAGGAATGCCTCCAAAACCGAAGTTAGTCAATTCAACCGCACACTCGTTAGAGTTGCTGATGGAATTAGAGATTTAGCATCCACATTATAATATCACATGTCATTAGGTATGATTCTTCCCTGATGGAGTCATGCCGAGCTTTGGCCGCTGAATGGACCTCAGCCGCAGACAACGCTCCACCGAATGTGTCCTCCTCTTTCGAGAAAATGTCACCAGCTCAGAAAGTTGCCACAGTGGACAAGATTCGTCTCAGTGGGAAGTTTACGGCAGCGAAGGTAAGTTATAGTTGGGTAGCTAGTGGGAATTCAAATGCGGAATTGTAAACATATTTGTGCGTTACTTTCAAGCCTTGAACCTAAATATTTGGTAAATGGCGTACTGTATTGTTTAATATAAATGATAGGACATTTTTTGAGCGCGTGCAGTTGCACACTTTACAATTTTAAGCCTAAGGTAGGTGCCACACTAAGCGAATATTTTGTTCAGCTGCAAAACGCGCACAGAACTAACGTTAATTCTGCGCGGGACCTGCAGCTGAAGCAGACCTTAGCAGCAGCAGACATCAATTCTGTGCGCCTTTTGCAGCTGAACAAAATTTCGGACCCGTCATACTTCGCCGAAAAAGGCCCAAAAAAGCCCAAAGCGCCAGAAAGAGCCGGAACACTTCTCGCACGTTTTGGCGCCAAAGCATGTGTGTCTATTTCGCAACCGAGTCTTTTGGTTCATTTTTTGTCGTCTGCGCGACAAAATAATGTCAGAATTCTACCAAATGTTCGTTTCTGCGTTTCGGCTCTTTCTGGCGCTTTCGGGCTTTTTTGGGCTTTTTCGGGCTTTTTCGGGCTTTTTTGGGCTTTTTCGGGCTTTTTCGGGCTTTTTTGGGCTTTTTCGGGCTTTTTTGGGCTTTTTGGGCGCTTTTGGGCTTTTTTGGGCTCTTTTCGGCGAAGTATGACGGGTCCCTTAGTCTGGCACCTACCTAATCCCCGACTAAACCCGATGCTCATATAGGATAAGCTTATGCGAACGCGGCACGCTAACTTTACCCTCTGTCCCGACTGGAGTGAGACCGACTCGAGCGGCTCGGGTTCCGCGCGGCTGCCACGCCTAGAACCTAAGCCGCGTTTCCGAATATGTCGTTTCATTAATTTTTAATGAGCGAAAGGCCTCAGAGGCAAGCATTAATTAAGCGTGGGAAAACGTTAAGAGAACTCGCTCTCGACGCGACGCAGGGAGTGCCGCACACGCGTAAGCTTTGCGATAATAAGCCATCCGCCTTCGTCACGGACAATCCTTTAGGTATTTGATTAATTTTTTGAATACACATCAAATGAATTTCAGATGCCGGCCTTGACGTCATGCTTCAAATTGGATGAAGCGCGAAATTCGGAGTTAAAATTCAGCTGGCTGATGCTTGGTCTTGACACTCAGTGGCAACCAATAATACCCAAAGCGCTTGCATTTGTACTGACTGTAGGACGAATGAAGTTCTGCAAGCCTATCTACAAGTCGCTGTTCAATTGGCCAGCAGCTCGTACCAGTGCCATTCAGCAGTTCGAAGCGAATAGGAAGAATATGCATCCCATCACAGCTTCAATAATTGCTAAATTACTTAATTAATTTCACATTTTTGTTGTTTTAGGCATAAGCATACTTCATAATATGATTGTTTAAGTTATACATTGTTACCTCTTCTGGTAAATTATACTTCACAATTATTATCAAATGTTTTTTGGCTCTTTTGTGGTTATAGTGGGGTTGTTGTAATAAAAATGGTGGCTGAGGCACGTGACCCACCAAGTTCGACAACATTTGCAGCATTGTTCTTCACTACAAAGAAGATAAGCCTCTCTTTGAAGTTAAGCCAAGTGATAACAGTGCTCATACCCGGGCTCATGATAGTGCCGCAGTTGTTCCATGCTTAATCGTTTGGCAGCCTAGCTGCAGAAGTTCTGCACCGCCATCTTGTTCTGTCAACTCGATCTTTTACTTACCAATCGTTGGTGAATGATCCCTAAACTAGTATTGGTTAGCGATGACGTCTAGCTTTCATATTGAGAACTTCCATGGAAGAACCTAGCTGTGAGAAAAAATTACTAAATCGTTATCTGATTTTGTAGTTCAATACATTCTAAACAGCCGAAGTATTTTGGGCGTCGGTTTGGAAAGGAACCTCGAACCTTGCTAGTTTTGCGTTTAGGTAGCATCTTCGGTGATTCTCTAATACCGCTGTTTTCAAAAAACAACGCACAGTTACCCGATTCATGTGACATCACCGTAGCGTGGCTTCATCTCGCTTCAGTAGTCGGATTGCTACCTGATTTTGTAATTTAATAATTTTAAGAGCACCATTTGACTCAGCTCGGTGCAGTGCATCTTCTGAAATCGTTTTAGTTTTTTGCTTGCTCTTGTTAAAGGCAGCGTCCAGGCAGATCTGGACATATGGGGCTTTTACGTGGAAAGTACTTTTGGGACCCTAACTAAGGCACTGCCCAAGCGGCAGCTCAGGTAGTGCTCTAATGGCTGAGATATTCCCCCCGAAACTAGCCCCCGCGAACGTATTCGCATGGATGGCAGTTTCGCGCCAGGATCCACGCTTTGCGCCATGATTCCATGCGAAACACGGTCGCGGGGTCCAGTTTCGAGGAGAATATCTCAGCCATTACAGCACTACTTGAGCTGCCGCTTGGGTAGTGCCTTAGTTAGGGCCCCAAGAGTACTTTCCACGTAAAAGCCCCATAGGTATCCAGATCTGCCTGGACGCTGCCTCTAAGTTTGTCCTTTTCGAAGCGACATTGGCCACGCTACGGTGACGTCACATGAATTGGGCGATTGTGCTTCGTTTATTCCAAAAAATACGAGCGCTATTGTATATCCTACTGAATCCGCATATCGGTTCTGATACAGAAGTCGGCGAAAAACTCATTTGATACAGTTTTTCATTTATGGTTGTTGAAGGCAGAGTCTAATTGTAAGTAATCTACGTAGCTGGCTTTCTAGACTGGAAAGTGGTTGAAAAACGTTGACTAAACGTATATAGTACATTCGAGGAATTTAACTGATTTTAGTCCCTACATTACCGTACTTGAGGCTCTGATTGGTCGAAAGATTACGGTGGAGTCTAGATTGGAACTTCTCACTCACGAATGTGCTATGAGCTGTCGCTTGAACATCTTTTGACTTTGCTAACGTCTCCAGTCACTGTCCACATAATAATTTTAGGTAAAGTAGGTTTAGGTTATTTCGGAAACTGCTCGAGAAATACTTTGACTTGTTTGGGTCCTCCCCATTAAGTGTTTTACCTTAGAGAATCTATACCTTTCCCCTAGAACAATCTTACAATTAGTGTAAAAATCTTTTGATGTATGTTCTTAGTCTTGGTCTTAGTTTTTGGACATGAAGTTGATTGCAATAGTCAACAATCTTGAAAAATACCAGATCTGGATAAATTCATGGCTTGAGCAGAAAACGGAACGTGACCTACAATTTTACCCCTGATTCTTGAGCTGTTCATATGAAATGCTCAAGGAAAGAGTTTGCAGAAGCCAAGGATTCTGAGGTGCGCCAAAATTATTCGAAACAAGCTTATTCATGCTTAAAGGCAGTGGGTCGGGAGAATTGCGACTGCAAGCTTACACTTACATGGCCTTCTGGATGCGCTGAGTTCAGTGCTGTGCTTTAACCATTAAAAAAGTGCTTTTTACGGCGTTTTTCCTACCCTGGAGATAGCTGGAGGGGATGGGCGGGGGACTCCCGCCTTGAACAACGACTGGCTGCAGGAGACTCTAACTCTACCCATTTTGACGGTAACTGGCTGATCGGCTCAGGCAGCCAATTGCGATGTTGGCGGGAATCCCTCGCCTACCCTCTTCAGTTACCTTCAGGGTAGGAAAACACCGCAAAAGCACTTTTTTTGACTTTTCAAGCACAATACTCGACTCAGGGCATCTAGAAGGCCATGTAGGTGTGGAAAGCTCGCAGTCGCAATTTCCCCACTGCCTTTAATAGGGTGTAGGCCCTTTTGAATCCTTCGCGCGCGATGCCCGTTTTGCCGCGTGCGTCGCTGGCAAAGCTAACATGTCGCATTCACAGTAAACGGGGAAAATTCTTTGTTTGAAGCATGTAATATACCTGCGCCAAAACTTATCATCATGTCGGACACGAAAGATGTACAAAAATGATGCTTCGTCCTAATCATAGCCTTGTCAATGGTAGTGGACATGTTGACCAATCAGAGGCGTGCTGTGATACCGAGCGGTTCAAAAGGGCCGTTTTCCCCTTTAATGTGATGCTAAATCTTTGTGAATCTTATCCTATAGCCAAGCGATTTGAACGATCTCTGTTGTTTGTAGTCATTTACAGCCATGCAAATTTTGATGACAAAATGCCCTAACCTCCCTCCCATAAGCGTTTTGTCGATAAAATCAAAGTTAAAGTCAGCGTTCCAAGCTTATTATAACAATATGCATCCTGTGATAATCGGCAACTTCGCTTCGCGAGATCAGGAACAGCATACTTGAACTATCTCAACTCAAGATTCATACTTCTAGAATGTGCCAATGCCACCGCCCGAGGCGTGACCCATGCTCAGCTGCTAATAATAACGATGTGATCGTAACCCACACCGCCATCAAATGGGAAGTTCATTTCCAACTGAAAATGCTCACCGGCCAAGTCACACTGACCTGCTCAATGCTGCACAAAACAGACAGAATCGTAAGTCACATTGTCATCTTTTCCATGAGTGCTGAAACGTGTTTTCTTTATCTTAACGCCTTCCGCAATGATTTATTGCATTGATAGCGTGCGATTTGGCTCCAAGTGACGTTCAAGCTGTTTAGATAAGATTTATGATGTGTATCTTCCTTGAACGCTGTACTTCGGCTTCTTCGCAATCTATCCTTGGGTTTGAGATCATTGCAGAAAGTTAGGACCATAAATGGGAGCAACAGAATCGTATAGAATTGCTTGGGGTTGAGATCTAACTAGCATTCAAAATTCAAGACAGATTTTCAGTAAAGTCATTCTGTTGGCCCAAACACAACGGAAGTGGGATAAAGACGATAATTTTGAACGCTAAGAAGTTGCGAATGAAGGACAGCTTTGGAGTAGCTCGTATTCTTCTTCCTGCCGATCGAAGTTCGTAGGAATAGAAGGATTGCAGGCCTATAGTGAATGTGCTTCGATGCCTCGGGGAGTGTGGCGACTCGGTGGGCTCGTGCACCTAGATGTTACCCGAGGCCTGATGCTCGCCCGATACTAAACGACATACCTAGCCTACTGCGCACTAACGCGTGACCGAACAGAACATGAGGTTGATTAAGTGGTTTATCCTTATGACACTAAACTACAGTTAAAATAGATAAAAAAAGAATACTATACTAAAGCAAAACAAGTACTACTACTACTAAAACACGGGACGAGGGCTCGTCCCATGCTACCGATGCGCGTCTACAGATAACCTCAAAAATACATGAGGCTCTCGAGGTTTCGCGCAACAAATCCACTGCGCAATGCCAAAGCCCTTAGACGACGGCACGTCCCCTCCAGCTCCTGTAGATAATTTCCGGTTAGTACTAGGCGCGTCGACTTGCGCTAACAAAAAGGAATCCGTTTTCCAATTCAAAGAACTTCCGGCTCAACTGCTCTTACTAAAAAGGACAGGAGCAAAGCGGCTGAAACGTAATTCGAATAAGGTATTCAAAATCAATCAATGAGACGAAGGCGAACAAGGCACCCAAATAAGGCGCCGCCGCTTTATATAGCCGCCTGGCTGGCAACCAGCCAATAAAGGAGAGGTCCGGAAACGATCGCGGCAACACGCGTCTCGGCTGCCGAAATCGTCGCCGGATAGCGCGGTAACCGATGCCCCCGGCCTCCGTACTTCGAGGAGCGCCCTGCATCGCGAGACGCGACAGAGAGGGAATTTGAATGCATTTGGTGAAGAAAGCATTTTATCTAGAGCGATTGATCGCCAGTTGCAGACTTGCTTTGCAAGCTCTTCGGAAAGTACAGGCAAGTAAGAATGTTGGAGACAGCTGAAGTAAAACGAAGTAAGTAGTGCCGAAGGGGCCTTTGCTAAACGAAATCCTGTTATCTCGACGAGATGGGTTTGAGTGCGAAGAGTCTCTAGACCGACCTCTTCCGCGTAAACACTCCTAAAGAAGAACATATATTTCCTGCTGGAGTTCATCCAACATATCTACGAAATCAGCCTCGTTTTAAGGCTAGACCAATTTTCTGTCGAGGGCTGAAGAACATCGTTTACAGAAATTTTTGATCCTACAACTCCAACCTCTGTTATTGGAAGAAAGGATTCCAGTTCCAGTGTAGATCCCCAGTAACTGCGTTTTCATTCAAGAAAGGCTAATGAGGATTTTCAAGACTATTGTCCAAATATGTTCGCTGAGAGTGCTACATAAACTCATCCAGGGATATCCCAACTCATTAAAAAGAACGCTAAATAAAGGCCGAGTCTTCGAAGCTTCTTTAAAGGCACCGTCCACCCAAAGCGAGGTTGATGAGATTTCTGTGGCATACTAGTGTGGGCCCCCACACTAGGCAAACCCCCAAGTAGCGCCGCAAAATACTCCTTCCGAAGCGAGAAATCCGCTCCAGAAGGAACGTAACCGGAGGTGGTCACTCCGCCCACTTTGCAGGCGCACCGTTGGAGAGACTACACGCACAGCGCAGTACGCTGCCTCGTCGTAGGCGACTAATCGGAGTTTCTCTTGTTATTTCGTGTACTTGTATCCTCAACCGTTCGTTTTTTATTCAGTCATGACCAAATTTACGACAAAGTTGTTTTTGCGGTTATAGCCATCATCAGCATCCGGCATAGCTGTTTTTCTTGATATGGACACGATCTTTCTTTAGAGGTGACGTTTTTGCTCAATAAAACGAGATGAACATGCGATGTGAGTTTTTTCATTGCAATGTACATCAAATTGAAAAACAATCTGTAGTCAAAATGGTCGTTGACGCCGTCTACATGACTAATGGATCATTGCAATAAACTGTCACGCATTTCTGTGTGCTAAAACACTTGCTTTCACTGCTTTCTGTGTGAATGTGCTAAATACGCGGAACCTGGATTAAGACTAGGCCAAACATTTCCTAATACTCCTAATTGATTGCACAATTGCCCATGACTAGTTTGCTAATGACGCCCTGCGTATATCAGCGCGCCTGCAAAGTGGGCGGAGTGACCACCTCCTGTTGCGTCCCTTCCGGAGCGGATTTCTCGCTTCGGAAGGAGTATTTTGCGGCGCTACTTGGGGGTTTGCCTAGTGTGGAGGCCCACACTAGTATGCCACCGAAATCTCATCAACCTCGCTTTGGGTGGACGGTGCCTTTAACTTCTTAGTATCATCTTTAATGATTGAAGAGGGACCCATTCTGTTGGAGGACATTGGCCAATTACTGAGGGAATGAATATCGATTACTGCAGCTACTTCAGTGCCCCCCCCCTGCCTCCCCGGCCACCCCATACCGCCCAGTTGGGAACGAGGTCCGGGAGACTTTTGAAGCAGTTCAACACGGGCTTGCACTGAGTGATGAAGTAACTCACTGGGACGGTGAAGCGTACGGAGATGAGGGGATATTTTCTTGAAAATTTCGTTTTGCTAGTAACATTGTTCCCTCATCGAAGGTGTCACTGAAGCAGAGACATGCTGAAGGAAGTCATTAGGGAGAAACACAGGAGAAGATAAGCGACAAGATTCTGAACACATGGCATTTCGTTTTTGGTGCTAAGTCAACATATTTTTTGATTCTGTAAAACAAGTCTTGTAAGCAAAATTTTGAGCTATGCATTTGCATTTATAACGTTTTCATCTCCACAATTTCAGCTGCTAGATGTGCGTGACCTCTCCATCCGCTCGGTCACTGTGAATGGGAAGATTGTGGATTTTCGTATTGCTCCCAATGTCTACACATTTTTCGGATCTAAAATGACCATATATCTTCCGTTGGAGTTTCAAGAAGAGGGTCGTGAGCTGTAAGATGACTACTTTGTCGATAGTGACTGTGGGAAAAATTAGTTATTTTAGAAGTGTCGTTGTGGTCTACAGTACTTCACCGGAAGCTACTGCCCTTCAGTGGATGCGAAAAGAGCAGACTGCGGATCAGAAGGTCCAGTTAAATTTGTCAGAGAGCAAAAATTATTACACTCAAGCTTTTTAGGCTCCCTACCTCTTCTCACAATGCCAAGCAATCCATGCACGGTCTATTCTTCCTTGTATGGACACTCCTTCAGTGAAATCGACCTACGAAGCACAGGTAAACAATCGCTCCCTCAAATCCAGGCTTCTGTGACGATTTTAGGTGACTGTCTCGAACGGCCTAACTTGCTTGATGAGTGCAATCGGTGAAGGGTCAAAAGCCGATGAAGATTTTACTATGTTCTTTTTCAAGCAACCGGTTGCTATACCATCGTATCTCATTGCAATCGTCGTGGGAGCTATGGAAAAAAGAGACATCAGCGAAAGGTTCGGTCATTCCAAACTCATGAAAAGGATGAAAACTGAAGGCTGCTATAACGACGCCTGAATCGATGAATCTGAAAGCTTAGATGTTCAAAAATTTCTCAAATTTGATATTTGTAGAGTTGCCGTATGGGCTGAACCTTCCATAGTGGACAAAGCACATTGGGAGTTCTCCGAGACTGAGGATATACTCGCATGCGCAGAAGAGATGGCCGGAAAATATATCTGGGGAAGGTAAGCACAACAACAAAGCAATAAAGTACAAATCAAGAAAAACCGACGCATCAAATTTCCATTTTCTGGCGGAACTGACAAAGAGCATCATTTTCCCAGAAGTCGTCAGTGGTAAGAGAAGATTGTACGCTTCACAATTGAAAAGTGAAGTCACCTTAGCGGAAACATCCTTTCTTCCAGACTGGTTTAGAGAAATTCTCAGACATGAGTATTAAGTGAGATAAAACTTGATTATGATGCTAACATAATGAGTATATTGATTTAGTATGTTCCAAATAGCAGCTAGTTTTGAATCCGCTTTTCAAAATTGTTTGATTCGGGTAGGAAACGATCTCCGCCGGTCTGAGTAACTGTTCCTTTCTTGCAATGTTGTTGCATGTTGTTTGCGGATCGCGACAGCTTAAAGAGAGTTCGTTCTTCTATTCGTTTGAGTCATTTATTTAGATACGATATGGTTTGCCTCCCACCATCATTTCCCTTTGGTGGAATGGAAAATCCTTGCCTCACTTTTCTCACGCCAACACTCATTGTGAGTTTGAAATTGGTTCGGTACAAGAGAAAATGCAAAGTCCTTACGTTACCAAAAACGAACCCTATCAAAAGTGGGCTAAATGGTATAGTCTTCAAAAACACCTTTTTTCACCTCAAAACTCTAACCCTCCAGAAGTTGGTAAATCTTTTTTTCACTTTCTAAAGCATACACTAGTAGCATTCCACTAGTTTCCATAGTTGAATAAAAACAACATTCTATCACCTTGCAAGCCTTACATATTTCTTTGCTCTAGATTTGAACTGCTATTACACTAAATTTGTTGGTCTCTTTTTGACCATTTGCCTTTCATTGGATCTTCACGCAGTTTCACTGATGGAATTAGGTTGTCATATAAGATTTGTTACTCTTGAAGAATCTTGTCCACTCTTTTGAAAGATTTTTTCAGAATTAGTTTACATGGGAGATTGTAATTTTTCGATAAGTACATGTCACTCCAAAGTCAATTTTATAAAGAATTTCTGAATTGTTGTTGGCAGATATCCACCTGCATCATCAGAGAGTTGAACCTCCGAACTGCCTTCGCATTAGCATCGATGCTATTTGAATGAAAAAAAAAACCTAAAGAGATGAAAACGGAAATAAGAAAATTTTGGAAGAAAAATGAAAATGGTATCTAGTTAAAATGCCGTCAAAGAATTCCCTTGCATGCACTGCAACTATGTCGTGAAAGTGAAAATGATGAAAATGGATAGCTTTTTATCCCCTGCTCTATTTCAGATATGGAATTTGTCACAAGAAAAATAACAGCTCTTATATTACGATTCAATGAAATATGAATTAAAATGTCAAACTATGAAGGATGCTATGTTTAAACTTTGCTATTCCTAGGCTGGTGATCGCTCGTTAGTCAGTGTCATTGCACATGAGATTGCTCATAGTTGGTCTGGAAATTTAGTGACAAACAGCAGCTGGGAGCATTTCTGGTATATAAAAATTTTTCTGTCTACGAAATTCGAGAAAATTTTACATCTAGGCTCAATGAAGGCTTCACAATGTTTATCGAAAGGAAAATCTGTGGACGTCTTGTCAGTGAAGACTATAGACAATTCATGGCCTTTAATGGATGGACTAACGCTCTTAAGCCAGCGGTTAGTTGCTTCATAAGAATTCAGATTCCGTTTAGTGGTATTACAATTCAGGTCTACGAACAATTCACTCCGACGCACCAGTTCACAAAGCTCATTCAAGACCATACCAATGTCGATCCTGATGTTGCTTTTTCTTGCGTTCCATACGAAAAGGGATCAGCTCTGCTTTTTTATTTGGAACAGAAGCTTGGAGGACCTGGTAAATCTTTGTCAAACATACTACAAACTACGAGATAATTTCCTCGTGTTTTCGTGAGGTGCACATGCCAAAATAAACCAACTATTTTTCTTTCAGAAATATTTGAAGAATATCTCCGTGACTACATTAACACATTCGCTCACAAAGCTATCGATAGCTATCAATGGAAGAAGCATCTACACGAGTATTTTGTAGTAAGTTTTGTTGAGAAAAGTCTCCCCTAGACTGTTGTAGTGTTCTCAAAAGATGTTTCGTATTTCATCCATGTTAATATTTTGAGCGATAAATACAATAAATGTACAAAATTGGGACCTTTTACAAGTGAAACTTTCAGAAACTAGAGTTATGTAACCAAGTCTTTGTACGTGAAAAACAGTTATGCTGATCAATCCTCTGCTAAAAGTTTTGATTTCCAATAAGAGCGACAAAATAATGGACTCTGCCATTTCCTGGACGTCTTAAACTTCCAAAAACGACTCTGCAAAGTGTATTATAGCTTCAATAAAAAAACTGTTCTAGGACAAAAAGGCTATACTCAGCACAGTGGACTTTGATGCATGGTTCTACGCCGTTGGAATGCCTCCGGAAAAACCAAAGTAATTTTTTGAATTTCTAGCTCTGCATTATCCTTATTTTGTGCAGGTATGGTCAAGCAATGGTCATAGCTTGCGAAGCGCTTTTCAAACAATGGATTGATTCTAATGAAGAGGAATCTGCTAGAATTACTGTTGACACTTATAAAAGTATGCAACCATTGCAGCAAATTGAATTTATCAGCCAACTATGGCAGGTTTGTTCAAGTTGACTTGGGTAGGCGCTATAACCTGTAAAACGCGTACAGAACCGTTTAATCGTTAGTGGCGCACTAAAAGGCGGGCATTTGGCATTTGGCGCTGTGTAAGTAAAATTGATCACGTTCGCAATGAACTATGTTTCTGTTTCAATTTCTCCCTTAGGAAAAACTATGTGTTGAGTTATTATCTGCTGTAGGCGGTTATTTGCATTCTTTTTGATATAACCAACATTCTAAAGTTTTGATTACGCGACACCAAATGACAAATGCCCTTTATTTGGTTGCGCCACTTCCGAAAAACTTTTTTACTCGGTTTACAGGTTGAAAATGACGCCTCTCCTTTTCATTATTTTCATTCATCCCCCTCATTTCAGCATGACCCACCTATCGAGCATTGGAAGCTCGAAGCACTCAACAATCTGTATAGCCTCAATGACTCAGAGAATTGTGAAATCCTTTTGAAGTGAGCTACAAGATTACTGGATAATTAGACATGTACATATCGGATTGATCTCATTACAGCTGGATTCGGCTTTGCGTGAAAGCAAAATGGGAGCCAATTATAGACAAAGCGCTCAAATTTGTCACATCTCAAGGCAGACTAAAGTATTGTCGACCAGTTTACAGGTGGGAAAATAAGTACAATAAAGGATATTTCTCTGTTTTTAGACCCATTTTCTTCGAAAAAGGATATTGCTTCTTTTCTTGTACCAACTTGGTAAAACCTCCAAAGGATGGAGAGTCAACCTCCTGCCACGTGTCAACAAAAATTGACATGTCATCTACATGTCTAACAGGTCTTGTCAAGATTTTGTATAGCCTACCCTTTGATTCAACTGACTTGGCGTCTGGAAGGCGGGCTTTGTGACCTAATTAAGGCTAGATAATGATCAGAAGCACGCGCGCGAAAGAGACGCAGGCTGCGTCGCGGGCGCATGCGGCCTTAATTAGGTCACAAAGCCCCGCCTTCCAGCCGCTAAAGTTGAATTAAAGGTTACTTATCAATAAGCTCAACCGGTTTTTATTCATTAATGACCCCTATTAGTCAGTCTTTATAAGGTTAACATTATGGAAATGGCATTCTGTGTTCAATAAACACAATAGTTCCCCAAAACAGAGAAGTGGGCTATTCTTCCATCATCTAAACTACGAAACATTCGGCAGCCAGGTACTTCAAGCTAGTTTGTATTCTTTCCCTGCTAGATTCGCATGGCGGAAATAAACTTTTTTGCTTTTATAAAGACCCCTGAACAGTCACTTCAAATACTGTAGTACCTCACCGGAAGTTTTGAAAAAACATGTCAAACTGGCTACAAACGTGTTGATTTTGAACTTGACACGTGGCAAGGAGACAGTACTCGCCAGATCTATTGAAAAAAATTCCTAGGCAGAAGCACTTGTTTCATGAGAACAATTTTAAAAAATGAGCTCGTATAACGGAAAAGTACAAATAAAGTATCTTCTCGTTAGAGTCATTCGGTCTGATATCCTGATGGGAGACAGAAAATTCTGATGGGTTATCTAGAGCAAAAAAAATTTCACTTCTCGATTTTTGCACACCTCTAGCCCTGAGAACGCCACAAAAAGATTTTTCGCAATGATATTTAAATTTTTAGAATTTGTGTAGGAGTACAATAATAATCATATAATGACAATCACCTGCATATATTTTATAACCCATACAATCCATATTCATGAATTCACAATTCACTCTTGAAACAAGCGCGAAAAAAATTTGAAGTAGATTCTAAATTGGCCTCCTACCGTACGCCTACCGTAACCCTGCAGAAAAAGGCCCTGCCACGGACTAAGTACAGGCGCTCCCGGCACGCACATGTTGGACGCTTTTGCGTCGTCTGAAGAGACAGCAGACGCTAAAAGGAGTGAGAGAGCGTATGATCAAAGAGACGCAGACATCTCCGCAGCGGCGCCTGTCTCTGCGTACGATGCATCGCTTAAGGCCATTTCCGGATCAATACGGCGAAACCTACAATCCAAATTGAGAAATCCGCGGTTTCAAAATTTTGGCGCTCTTAGAGTCGAATAGCGCCGCAATTCGACAACGAATCATGGATCTGTCGCGCAGTGTGCATTTTGTGTGCAATTGCACATACCTAGTTCGAAGGAGACTCGTTTGTAAAACGTGCTTCTATCATAGATCAAAAATATGCATTATTTTCTCTACTTTTCCATTCTTCCTCATTTCAATAGACACCTGGTGGTCGAGTCTGATTTGAACTGGAGCAGGCAGGCTACATTAGAGCGCGACACCATCTTAGGCAAATTAAACTAAGGCTGATGGCGTGCTCTAACGCAAGCAGACTGCTCCTATTCTCTACGCTTCCACCAGATGTCACTGCATTGAGGACGACTATAATATCTCCGGATTTCAGCAGGTCCGCATGATTTATTTGTTCTTTTATTTCGAAACTAACTCTGATAAACAATACATATCCATTTTCCAGAGACCTGACCGCTTGGCCAGCGGCAAGAAGTCGTGCTCGTGATGCGTACATCAAAACTCGTTCATCCATGCATCCAATCACTGCCGAGATGATCGCTAAGGATCTGCACATGCGACATTCCACACATACCGTATGCTTCTGAGAGACAGAGAGAAGAAGCAGGATTACGCAGATTAATGAGATCTGTCAGTGTAAATAGAGCTAAGAGCTTGATAAGCTGTGAAAAAGATTTGTTTGATGAAGTCAAAAAATGGCATTTATATTGAAGATGCAAGACGATTAGCACTTTGTACATATTGTCATTAATCTCTTGCATGAATTTATCTCATCGTCAATTTCAGCAGACCAATGTTTTCAGATCTGTGTGAATCATGAATAGATTGATTAAAAAATTTTCTTCACCCCACGAAATCAATATAACGTATGCAATGAGTTTTCTAGCTTCAAGCAAAGCGAAGCATTGCTTCTAGAAAAAAAAGCTGTCGTCGATTCGTTGGCCGTACGGACCGCTCAACCGCTGCGGACCACGCGCGGCGCGGTTAAAATGTTGCAAGAGCACGATTTTAGCAATGGCGAGTTTCTATTGGAGCAAGCGTTTTACCTCGCGGCGCGTGCTCCGCGGTTATGTCCAGTCCGTACAGTCAACGAATCGACGATACGTAGGGATGCCGCAAGGGGCGTCGCGCGCGGCTGCGCAGCGGTCCTGCATGGAAATGTCCTCATCACGGTATTGCGAATAGCCCTTCATTCCGTAGTACTTTTACGTAGTAAATCCGTAGTATATTTTAGTATTTTTTTCTATTTCTTATGTTTTCTACACATTATTTTTTTCATACGCTCGATTCATCCGGGAGCGAACGAAGGTTTGTAAGAAAAAGCAATCTTGTTGTTACCTATCGTACCCTAATAGTAACTTTTTAATATTGACTTTTTTCTCCAATTTTTAACTTTTTTTAATTGATATCAACTTTTTCATCCATTTTTCCCTGGAATAAGAGGTTTTTCCCCAAATTCAGATATAGCTTAGCGCTGACGGCTGTAATGTTCTTGCGTTTCCGACATAATTTTCGCGACAATGTGCGCTCTACGGCCATTTTTTGTGCGCAAGTCGCAATCAGTTTACCACCGCTTACAAGCATAAGCGTGTATTTTCGCGCAAATATTCCTGACACCGCAAAGGGACACTAATTCCATCAACTCTGGGCTCTATATTTTCCCAGTTCTTTATTTCATTCCCGGAAACCTGACTGGCAAGTGGAGAAAAGGTGTGTACTGGATTGTGACGTTTCTGTATGGTATTGATTTTTCGATTTCAGTTTTTCATGATATCGGAATTTATTCTGTCAGTGTTATGTGTGTACAAAGCACGTTGACTTTTCGCCATGTGATATGACAATCGAAAATTTCCCACAACTGGTATTGATTGTCATTGAAAAGTTTTTTATCCAAGGGTATGAAGGGGAGAATTATGATAACTGAAAAAAAGGATGAGTGGGAAGTAGCCCCTTTTCTTCTTACTTTTTCATAGATCTTGAAAGGAAGCGAAACAGGTAATATCCAAGAAAATTCTTTGTAACACAGCATTACCTTCATGTTATGGAGCTCTCAAAGGAGTTAATTTTTTTCCTATAAAATAATATTTTAAACCCCTCACCTCTGAATCATCTAGGATGTCACGATCTTTGCAGCAAACCTTAGTTATAAGACATTTGCCAAACGAACAACACTTGTCAAGGTCAACAGCTACTCAACATTCTCTTCTCTCCCATTTCTCTTTCCTGAACATCCCCACAAAAAGGCATCCTTTTCCCTAACAACACTTATAGTTGGAGAACGTTCCAAGTTTTTTTTTAATGTTTCCGCGAACCGGAAGTGAGCGATTTACTCACATGGTGAAAATGATAAGAGTAGCATATGACGAACATAAACACCTTCAATTGAAGGCAACACAAAACATCCATCTTTGAAACGACCCCCATGAGACTTGATTACTTCTTAGGCAAAATGTGCGATGTTTACGGAACTTTTTCTTTTGAACTCTAGAAAATATCAGCTACATGATGGTTTTTTCCTAAATTATTTTCATTTCTTCCCGTTTTGAGAGTTCTGAGAGTTTTTTTTTATACTTCAGGGGATGAGGTACGTGAAAATTTGATTTTGCAAACATTTATGCTTTAAGAAGCAAAATGCCGTAATCATTAGTTAGATGCTGGATTCTCGAAAACAAAAAGCTTAAATTTCGCCTTCATCCTCGAATCAAGACTGAATTAAAAACATATATGAAAACAAATCAATAGTTTGACTTGATGCGCCCAAATCATGCAACATACTTCACCCATGAACTTTCAAACTGGTGGACTCCCCGTCGTATTTTTGCCCCTCCTGTTGACTTTGCGCTATTATTTCACATATCTCACTGAATGCAGCTTGAAACGCTGGTTCGAATTCTGTTTTTCCTATCCTATAATGCATTAGTGTGTGTCAAATTACATGGCTTTTTTTGCGCACTATGGTGAGCTGCCAAGTGGTCTCACGATCAATATATGTTGTACTTAGCGCAGTGGTAAGTGTATCACTTGTTGTGCGAGAGGTCAAAGGTTCGAGTCCTCTGCTTGCGTCATCGTCAGAACTAGGAGATTTAAAGGCACCGTCCACCCAAAATTTCGACCTCGATGTTTTTACCGTTCCAGGGCCTTCTCATACCCCCTGATTCCGAATATCAAGTCGGAAATCCGCGAAAACCATGAAAAACCCCCGTTTTCAGAATCCGCAGACCGATTTCTTCGGAACGGTGATTGGTCGGGCGCGCACGGATGGATGGGACGAACGTTACGCCCACTTAAAGGGGAGGAGCCAACATGGCGAATCGGTCATCCGAGCAATTTTTGAAGCAATTTTCTCGCTTCGGAAGCAGCTTTTGCCAGCGCGAGTTGGATAAGTATACAGTTGGGGGCCCACTACTGTTAGGCAAAATCTCATCGACCCAATTTTGGGTGGACGGTGCCTTTAAGGCCACATATCAAGTTTATGGACTTCAGTTTGACTAGGGATCCCATCTGAACAGATTATTTTCCACCGCAACAATCCGTCCCCCTCCCCCCCCCCCTCCTCCGCTCCCCCTCGAATATAATTTTGCTACACCAAAAAGATACGTGACGAAGTGTTATCACACCTGGCTTCATCGAACAGGCAGCCGAGCAAATATGTGTCCACATAACGTCAATGTAAACTAGTGTTCAGTGATCAGAGGTTGAACGACATTGAACAGTTCGCGATATGCGTCATAAAACGTCATTACGTTTTCATGCTGGTAAATATTTCTGAATACCAGTCCAAGGCGGTTTATTATGTACCGGACTGAGCAAATAAGGAACAAACCAGAATACAAAGAGAAAAAGAAAATAATGAAAAATTGAAAAACAATAAGCCATCTTTTCATAGCAACATAGCAAAAAGGTGTGTGTGTGTGAAACACGGAATGGCACTCTCAACAATTGAATGAAAAATGGCGAGCACAGCGCCTACCGGAAACCGAGAAGCGTAGAAAAGAGTGGGGAGATATGAATAATAATAAACATATATCCGAGGCAACTAGTCAACTAATGAAAAACGCCATATTACCACAACGGGCAAGTCTGGATACCCGGGCAATTGGGATTAGGGTGTATGTGGGGGGATTTTGGTTCTCGTTTTTTTGTGTGTGCATATTGAGCGCATATGATAATTCGGGTACGTCACAATAATATGTCAAACCCCGCAAGTAAATTTTTGCCACGAAAGCACGAGAAAGAAAAAACGCTGACGGGATCGACCACCGGTGCAAAGCAAGCGCGCATGAGAAGAAGTACACATAATTTGTGAAAGAAATGTGTAGGGGGGAGGAACGAGAGAGAGAGAGAGCGACAGATGAACACAGGCACAACAGAGCAAAATTAGTCACCACGCAAGAATATGAATCAACACCAGAATCATTTTTTTGGGAATTTTCACAGCAGATACACAGTGTGCAGGCACCCGTAAATAGACAACTACCGAAAGCGAACAGTAACCAAATTGAGACGGATGAGAGAAACACACGACGACGATAAGGGGAGCAAATAAACACACACATATTGAATGCGTTGAGTCCTATCACGATATAATGATGTGTGTGAAAAGCAGATGATGAAAGCAAAAAATGAACATTTCTGGATCCGAAAGGGATGGAAACGAACGGGATCGATGTGGGGGTAGATGATGTAACCAGTGCTTTCACAACAGGACAACAGACACGAGTTGTTCATTTTATCCGCACCACATTCTAACTCAAAATTTGAGAAAAAATTGCCATTCACAAGTATTCGCAATCATCCAAGCACTCACATCGCCTCAACTCGATAAGAAAATTTTTTTCAAAATTTTTCCCTAAAATTGTGGCCCTGCCCGCTTCAGTAAGTTCTATTGTCACTAGTTGTTGCACGATTGGCGGCCGTGACACAGAGGTCAAGCGGACCCTACGCGTCCCCTTACAAAGAAAAGAATAAACAAGGAAATCAACAAAAAAAGATCTACAAGCAAAGAAAAAAAACTACGCACGTACTACTTTCTACCCAAAAACCAAAAGCTTCCGACTATACTACAAAAAAATTTTGAGATTTTTTTCAATATTTTCAAACGAAAGACTATGCTAATAAAACTATATACTACAAATGAAGCTATTTACACGTATTTTGATTTTGTATTTTTTGATGCCAAGCCCAATAAGTAGTGTGGATAAAATGCAAACCAGCAAGTTTGTTTCCTATTCATTATGAGTGCGAGTGAAAAGCAAACGGGGATCAATTTGAACTGGGGGGTGAGAGCCCGTAAAGAATGCACTGAGAGGCAGAGATGGAACGGTGTCTCAAGATTACTCTCGCAAGAGCGATGCGATCGAAAACACGCATGACCGCTTTGATAGAATAAGCGGAATGTCTCGAACAAACGATGGCGGAACGATCAAATTGGAAACGGATGTGAATAAACGACGTTCGCCAGGCAACTCAGTGACGTTTTTGTACTTTCGGTAGAGATAATCACTCCATGTCGCAAAGATCCATCGGCACAGCAGTGGTAGAGCCACTTGCGGCCATATCTTGAGCGCGTTCAAAGTCGGATATTCGAGATTTCAACACCGCCAGCTTGGAGTGCAGATCTGCGTAACGCTGACGGGTCTGGAATATCCATTACTCAGAATAATGCTTTCAATCAATATCTGAGAATTTGAATGAAGCGATTAGGCGTCAAGATGATATAGTTTGTAAATTCGAACTTCTTTTGAACGAGAAAAGCTTTATTCTCGAAAAATTCAAACTTTTTTGAAAAAATTTATTTTCACGAATAAGAACTGCAACTTCCTTGACCAAGAAAACCTTTATTTTCAAAATTGGAAACCTTGTCCACCCCACAAATACCTTTATTTAGAGAAAAGAAGCCAATTTCCAGAAAATGCTACACACTTTGCATTTCCTTCGCAAATTCAACAAAACGGAAAATTTGAATTGCAAACTCAACCCTCAAAGAACTTTCCATTAACATGTGAGATTTATTTAACTACAAATCAATCTTTCCAACCAATATTTTGAAAAACATAATTCAGTAAAAGCTAATAAAAACAAACCATACAAATTTTAAGATGTAAACGAAACAGAGTGCGAAAATTTATAGAGTGATGTACTAACCTTAACAAACTCCGGGTCTTTGTCATAGTGTGCGAACCGTTGTTGTATAAGCTGTTCTATCTGTAACGAAGAAAAATGAGACTACCATGTAACGCTAGACTCAGCAGACTACCATTCTAGCCTGCTGAATACAGTCACGGGAGGGGGTGCGCAAAAAATTCTCCCATGCTTTCATGATAATATGTGAAATCAAACAGATATAGAATTTGCATAAACAGTTGCTAGCTCCCAGTTAAAAATAGCTTAAATGGCCTACTATAATATTCTCACTGGTTTGCATTCTACTTAATACCGTATCCAACATGATCCTTCTGGGAAAAAGCAAGGAAAGAAAGGTAAAAAACAATTCGATATACATGAAAGTTACATACCCTAGCGATATCTTTACGATGTTCCATAGCATTCCTAAGTTGCATTTCAAGCTGGCGAAACTCTTCGGCCACCTAAACTGCAATTAATTAGCAAACACGCAATCGCAGACATCTTTAGAATGAGTATTGGAAAACCAAAATCCTACCTCGTTAAGAATCTTGTAACATTCCCTATATTCAGGATATTCCTGTTGAAACAAAGTGAAATATTTTTCCGCCTCGTGTACAGATTTTATCTAAAAATCGATGTATACTACAAAAAAAGAAAATCGCACCGAACACGCACCTCTCCATAGTTTTTATCCCAATCACATGATGGCTGTGTTGGAGACGATAAACTGCAAGGGGAGCTAAGACGAGAGGAAGCGGTGCTGCCACCGGAACGGGCTGCAGTCGTCTTCTGAAAGCGACGAAACTAAATAAGGAAGTTGAAAATATGGCGAAGAACATGGCTCAAAAAACAGGCAAAATTACAAACTTGATTGTGTTGAGGGTGATTAGTGGGATCCTCGGGAGGACTTGCACTTTCTTGGCGCGGGCGCTTCCCATCATTGGGCCGCTGTTGCTGGGCAGGAACATGCGCTTTTCGCTTATTCACTGACGTCGTCTCGCCAATAGGACTACGATAACTACTGAAAACATAAAATAGTAGCAACATAAGAAATTCGGATGAACTTCAACTTACGAAGGAGTTTGCTCTCGGCTGCCATTCACTACCGTACTAACACTCTTTGGAGGGTTTGGAGGCGTTTTGCGCATGGGAGCGGAGACAGCAGAAGCGGGGCGGGAGCTGGGAGGTGTAGGAATTGCTAAAAGCACTTTTTTCGAAGAAATACAAAATACAGGGTTCAAAAGAGAAATTTTAAAAAATATGGATAACAATAAATCCAGAAGAAAAAAATGCTTACCTTCAGGACTAACGGTCTGCCCAGGAGCAGATGTCGAATTATTTGAAGGATGTGTAGGAGCTTGCATCCGCTCCATTCCACTTTTTCGCATCGGGGCAAAATTACTACTTTTAGCCTGCGACGTCGATAGCCCCTGCGTAACACGCCGGACGTAGGCCTTCTCATCCTGAGTGTACCATAACCATCGCGTATCAACCTATAAATGGGAACTATCAAAAAAATTTCAAAATATGAACAAATCGCAAACTCTGAACATGAAATAAGTTAAAGCAACATGGAAGAAAGGTTAAAGAATCTTACCTCTCCATAAAAAGTAGGCTTCAACGTTATCTTATTAGAATCGCCACTACTAGAAGGTTCAGAAACTTCGCGTACAATATCTTCAACACGTCGTTCAATACCCGCTTCATCAGCCAATCCATCCTTACGCAATTGACGCAGAATCTGAAATTAATGTGCAATCAAACTACCAAAAATTCACCACTAATCTGAAACTCACCGAATCGGCACCAGAAAATTTTCCAAGAACGACTAGTTGAATTATCCGTTGGCGCAACTTCTTTTTACGTAACTCGCTATTCAAATGCTGTGTGGGAGTAGCGCGAGGTGTACCCGAAGACCCTATAAGCGCATAAATCAGATACGTGCACGCACAAACACATTCAGTATCGTTATCAATAACTGAAGCCAAATGGATTGTTTACGATCGCGGCACTAGCGACTCATCAATTTTTGGAAAATTCAAGCAATATTCAATTTAAGACACTCATGAGGAGGAAAAAGTGAACGCTTTCGTGTCCACAGATTTTTACGGTAATTTATCATTGGCTATGCCAAATCTCATTGTTTTTGAATAAGTTCCTCACTTCCGACAAAATAAAAAATTGTTAGATGAAATCAGCGATTTAGTAGCGAACATTGTCCAAAAATTATGGAGGAGAAGTTCATGCTGATGAGTCATGAACTAATCGGACTAATCAATGTGAATTCGCAAGCATGCACAAATAACAACTTTTGCCTGTCTTGAAACTGTGTGATACAATTTAGTGTAACTCACCGCTATTCAGAGAAGCATTACCATTGGAACCCGTAGAAGTGGCAAACTGCAAATATAATTTGTTCAGAATAAAAAAAAAGAAATCACGATTAAAAACCGCGTATGATGCTGAGATCAAAATCGGTTTCGGCTTGCATAAACGCCACGCAGAAAAAACTCGAGTTTGCGCTGAAGTCTCTGTGTCGCACATTCCAACGCGTTCAACTGAGGAACGCCAATGAAACCGGTTGTAGGCAAGTAATTCGATCTCAACAACGCGCAATAAACGAAGAAGCCGAAGCGCTCACATTACGAGAATTAATGCTTTGTCTAAGAAAATGGCGCTTTGTACTCGACAATCAATCATCCATAATGTATACAATGTCAACTTACTTTGTTAGGACTGATACGAGAAGAAGGAGTATCGAGAGTCCGTGTAAGAAGTGGTGAAACATTGCGAGACGATGATGCTGACCCGACACGTGGTGTACCCGATTTAAGCAAACTACCCTTTTGACGATGCCTGATGAGGGAATAAATCAGTGCACATATGAAAAAAAGACCAAAGACCAAACGTATCAATCAAATTTTCAAAAACTTACTTGGTGACATCTTTTGTACCACGGCTCTTCTCTTCTTCGATGAGTTTCTGCGCCCGTTCTCTAGTATCCGCGAACGACTTATCCGTTGCTTGGATCTATAAATCATGCTATATCGCAGAGACTTTGTTAGATCACCGAGCTATAGACATAAAATTGATCAAACTGATGTTTATGAATCGTGAACATTTGTTGGACGCCCAAGTGAAAAATCAGCCCCTCGTCATCCCCCAAGTCCGACGTCCAAAAAGCAAACAACCCCTGTTTCGCATACTAGAAAAGAGGCCTGAGCTAGTTTGGCAAACCGCGCTGATAGCCATCTCGTTTCGGGTCCGCCGTGATCGCAGCGCCCTATCACTCATCATTTTCTTCTCTAGCGCTAGTTGGAAAAATGTGAACAAACCAGTCATTCATAAAAATTCTTGACTGAATCAAGAAATTCAACGGTTTCTTCCCTTTCACAAATCATTTGGCAGAAACAATATAACTTCCCTCACTCTAGAAAATATAACAGCATTAACAGCCTAACATCTTGAGCTCTCTGCCGTCTCCTACTTCAAATCAGCAACAATTTTTTGTTTTATAAAATCCCCCCGGAACATCATGACAGCCAAGCAAGCGCAATGATAAACTAAGGAACGATAAAATCAATGCAAAAAGACTGATAGTCGCTGTCGCTGCATATACAAACAAAAACAAACATTTCTTATGCCTTCTCAGAAAGGCCTTGTTTACGAGCTTCTTGGGGCCATAAAAATATATAAGATAGTAAGATATACAAGTAAGATATGCAAGAACGCTTCAGTCATTTCCGGAACAAGAATTTGATAGCACTAGGTTTGAAATGTACAGCCGTATTGTTCTAGTTCAGCAGTGATCAAGATTCAAACACCAAAAAGCAAATTTAGGGTAAATCTCTCTATCTCAAAGTCCATAAAAACAAAGAAAACGAAGCACTCTTATTGGGCGCGCTTTTGTAAAGAATTGGCAATTACAGTATACTGAAAAAAATTCGTAAATTCTCTGACGTTTTGTTCGCATACACTCCTGTCACAGTGTTATGACATAAAGCTGTAGCGCGGCACATTAATCTGCGAGAGAATAGGCTTTTTACATTACAACACTTCAGTCTCACATATTTGTGTCAAACAAGCTCTTTGAGATTTATGAGAAAATGAAAAGAAAATCTGTTCTGATAGATTTCAACGACAGAGGTCGCTTTTTCAGAACATTTTATGCGATCATGTAGATTATAGTAAGAAGCTAAGAACTGAGGAAATTCTAAGACAGAGAAAACGAGCCCCACACCGAACATTCAAGGGGGCAGGAAGGATGGTAAGACCGTTTATGCAAACGAAAGCAGGCCATTTTGTGCGCTTTTTTCAACTTCAATGATTTCCAAGCGCTCAAAAAAGAACAACAAAGGGAGTCGACTAAGATTTACCTGATACTTGCTTCGAAAAGCAGCAACGGCACGATACGTTCCCGAACGTGGATCATGCACAACAGCATCGGTAGGAGGACCGGGTAAAGCCTGTTGCTGATAGCGATATACGCTACCTCCATTTGCAGGATCACCAAGCTCCCATTTTCCACCCTACAACATCTTTTAGATAACAAGTACCAAAAATGAATGACTAGAAAGAAAAGAAAAACAGAACCCAATGGGATAATCACCTGTTCATCTATGTGAACACGTATGGACAATCCTTTTCTTTGAGCTAACATCAGAGCCGAGAACATCTCGTCCGTTAGCTTCACCATCACCACGCTTTCGTAATCGCCGCAATCCGACTCGAGTCTAAATATAACAAGAATAATTGCTTTGAAATATCAAAATACGTGAAAACAGTGTCCCGGCAAAAATTCGCTTTCCAGTTTTTCAACTTTTCGCAACCTCTTCGCCATGCTGAACCCATAAAACAGCGAAAATGAGCTTTTTTCGAAAGCAAAAGGTCAAAATCAAAGTCAATCGCTACCTATGCCCGAGGCAGATATCACCGTTTGCAGAGAATTATGCACTATTACACTTTGTACTTTCATATTCCTGATCATACGAATAGATAAAAGATTGGACTTCTTTTGTGAAAATCTAATCAACTTTATGAATATCGAACCTGTGAACATCAAGTGCGGCATGATCGGGCGATCCGTCGAGGCGTGGTGAAGCCATTCTCGAACAATTAGGCTTGTCGCCCTTTTATATACAAAAGCTTGTACTCGATGAGAGAGGGAGAGAGTGTGGCTCCACGTGGGTTACGATTCCTCCCACGCTCTTCACTACTCTGTTTCTTGGATAAAACACTGAAAATGTAAGCAAAATCATTACAAAAAACTCCCGATAACAACACATATCGAAACGCGACGACGATAGCGACAACGAATGAAAGAGTCACATGCGGGAAAGAACTTCGTGAGAATGGCAAGGAGTTTTCGACGAGGATGGATGGACACATGACATGCGGTAGTAATGACGCAGAGATACCACCACACACCACACAACGCGGGCACAGAGTCTCTGTGATAATCGAGAAACGAGACACAATCGATCGATTTGTCCATGAGCGATATTAACCTTTACTAGCGAAAAAAAAAGGTTATGATAACAAAAGTGACGCTGAACGTGTTCCGCAGCTTATTAAACAGTAAGCGTGTCAGATTCTGAGGGGGGGGGGGCTGACCTCGAATGACACAAGTACACTCAAAGACTAGTTATCGCACAACTCGGCGAATTACCAACCTACTCACCGGGCACGCAGACACCAATTCGACAATGCTGCCGACGTAGCATTATTGGGGAACAAAGACGATAGGCAATTAGTAATCAAGCAGATCAGGTTGCATTACGGTAATTAAAGGTCGAACGACTAGCAGAAGCACAGGTTCAAAAGCAAAAAAAAAACACGGTGTATGTGTCTTGGTTGTATTCCATTGAAATGCAGATCCAAAAGTGATGCAAACATAAAATTCGTGACGTCAAAGAACTGAGAAGCAATCTTATTCAACACCACTTTCGGCACTTTGCTTTCAAATTTTCTGCAAATTTATGGCACGTGCACAAGCAAACGAGAACTCAAAAAATTTGATAAATTTTGAAAAGTCAGTGACAAACAGAGCGAAAGGGAAGGGATGGCCCTTTGAAAGTTACATGGATCACAGAAATGTGCAAGTGACTTGCTTACGCTTGCAAATAAGTAAGATAATCCTTAAATTTTTTATTTTTAGTCAATTCTCCAAAAATTCGAATCACACTTGAGTAATCACTTGAAAATGTTTCAAGGGAGTGCCTGATGGGCATTTCTCTGAATTTTCGCAGCTGTAAGAAAGCAAAAAATTTTGGGAAGCATCTCAGAAAATTATTGGAGAGCGTGGCCAACACCACACATCTCAATTCAAAATCCCCCCCCCCCCCTCCCCGCCCCCTCCCTTTTTTCAAAAGCCCTGGATCACACTGCAAGATGCCATCGACAAATTTCCGAAATTCATTCAAATGACACCTGCACTTTTTAAACACCTCTATTCAAACCATTCATGAGGCTTTACGAAGCCAAATTCATCAATTTACAAAAATATCACTGGGCCGCATACAATCAATTAACGTAGTGAACATTTTTCTCTGCCGACAAAAATTTATTACCACTGCGCACAAATCTAACGAGAAGTAAATCTGCTTGAGTACACTTCATCGCGAAAAAAAAAACCCAGTGTTGTGACAATTTTCGCAAAAGTATTTCTGTTCTTCCGCTCTCAAAAGAAGTGTAAGGCCATCAAACTGTAACACCGACCCAGGAACAAGGAAGCAGCTCGCACACAATGGCACCAGCGCACACATTCACGAGTGTAAGTGCAAAAGGAACGAGCATGAAAAACCACCTCTCATGATCCATACATATGAAAACTTGAGGTGCTAAGAGATAAATAACACAAGGTTGTTTCTAGCACAACGACCCAACTGGCGCACACTCGCCGATATGTGTCTGTCACGCCACTTTAACAATTGCACCACACCGCGTAATGTGCACACAAATGTACGAAAAGAAGACACGCTAGGGCCAAGTCAAAAACTGAGCTTGTACCTCAAGAAATCTGAGCTCATAGCAAGTATGTATAAGATGTCTGTATACCTTTGTAAACTAGAGACCAACTATTTACTCAGAAAACTTGTAAAAAAGAGACTGTGAACACAATTTTAACACCTACTGTAAACCAGCAGAAGCTAGAAAATATTGAAACAAGTAGAAAAACTCTTACAACTACAACAAACTGAAATCTTGCAAAAAAAAACCTTTACAAACAGAAGCTTTCTCGCCAAACCTGAATAAGTCCTTAGCTGTTTCATATCGGTCTTTTTGGGAACAGCCTCCACAGCCGAGCTAAACCCACCTGCACACTCCAATGATACAACTGAAGATTAGTCACACTGTCTCGCAAAAAGTTCATCACGCCCATGTCTGCGCTGAATATTTATAAACATGATAGTCATCACTATGTTCTTTGTAATATGTCTAGCGAGAAATGAACGGCGCATACTCGTCTGCACTAGCCGACATTTTCGAAATATCGTACAACTACCGAGAGAAACCCATTATCAAAACGTCTATCTCTATTTCCACATCCATATATCAATAAATGACCCTCGAACGGCGCCTATGCCCGTTCACACCACACACTACGCTCACCCACACATGCAGGCATTTCAATACAATTTGCGTAGGCGAAACGAGGCAAGGTCGGGCGTCACCCACGAGCACGAGCTCTGCCCCGTCTGACCCTCCCCAGTTTAGTGAACTCGCCCTCAAATTAGAGATATGTTTGCGCAACACGGCCACCGTTGTTTTAGGATGCGCCAATTCGAAAAAGATTAGTGAGATAGCTGATCTCCTCTCTGGATAGGAATAGAACAATATACGACGGATATAACGGGATTTCACTGTTAGAAAGAAGAAACTGAGAGATTCCAGAGTAAGAGAATCACTGGAAGCAACTCTTTTTATCAGGTTGGCACATAAATGCAGCTAATTTCATAACTTTTCCCTTTTTGGATGTGGAGAGCTCATTTTTGACATAAAGTAGATTAGTAGTAGGCTACAAATCGCTCGCATCGTTTGATTACGAAGCGCAGAAAAAATCTACACATTCTCCGAAAGCTGGTCAGAACAGGAATTTCATTGGACTAGGAAGAAAAACAAAGCCGTTTTCAGCGTGAAACAAGCATCAAGCCAAAAATGTGCATAGATCGTTAGAGTTTCATCTGGCAACTATCTTTAACTTTTGGCTTGAACAGTTTGATTCAGGCTGGGAACAGATTCACTTTTGTTCTTAGCCCATTGAAATTCTTGATGACAAGCTCCCAAAAAAATCCCTTTAGCAAAAATCAAACGGTTCGAACACATTTGTAGCACACTACTCAGTCTTCATCAACGAATGAGCACACCACATCCAGAAATAGAAAATTTAAGAGGTTAGTTACAAACTTATGTGCCAACCTATTATATGCAAAGGCAATCAATCGCAAACTTCCTAACAAAACCAATAGCACCTCCAAATTTGCCACTTGGTTACTCTATGGGGATATTGACAAACAAAAATATGCTCAGATCGAGCTACAAAGATAATCATAGTACAATGTGTAACTTGTTAATGATATGGCCTAGCCGCTCACCAATGATTATTTTAGCTCTCAAGACATAACGGGGTCCTATTGAGCAAGTATTTCTCAGGCGACAGCGATCAGCGAAAGACAACAGAAGCAGTTGCGCTGCGCACAAATCGCAGCAAATACCCGTCTGCGCAGTCGAGAGGAAGCGAAGAACCAGTCGCAACGAGATCTCAAACGGAAAATTGAAATCCATATGCATTTCAGCTCTCACGGCTAAAGTTCTAGCAATGGCTGCAAATTTTGACGAATTGCATACTTCATAGACTAAAGTGACTATAGTTGTGAAAAGAAAAGAAATCGTTATAATGTGTAGTGTGAAAATAAAAGGCTACATACATGGTTTATTTTATAGCGCAGGATTTGCTTCTTTTGCAGTTCATAAGTTCTTACTATGAAAAGTACATGCCGCAGATTTCCATGGAGTCCATAAAGATTTGCAATAAGTCTAGATGTTCCTCAACATTATCGTCATGTATAGAGAAGAATATCTCTCATAAAGCCATCAGCGTTATTTTCCATGGCAGCTGCTAATTTACAACAAATTTTAATCTCACAACATTAACGTTGAAATTGCAGCATAACAACGCAGTCTGCTCAGTAAAGAAGTGAACTTCAAAAGAAGGAAAAAACACAAAATAACTCGGTTATATTCGCGCAAATGAAATCACTGTTCTATATGAACTCGGAATTTGCTAAGTCGGAGAAGACGTAAGCTATTCAAATTCTTACAAAACAGCGACATGTACGTCATCGAAATTTAAAACGCCACGATTATGCAACACAATTCAATCTAAGCCTAGTACATGCTCTCCTATGACGCAATTAATGTCAAAATAGCAGACGCAGCAAGATGCAATTGTGCTGTTTCGCGAATGCAAAAGTATGTGTAGAAGTGGAAAATTTTATGTATCGTGAATGAAGGCCATTCGGGAAACTCACTAAAAACATCGTCTACGACACATACGCCGGCGGTAGTCAGCTGGTACGGAACGACTCGAAAAAACCTTTCGCAGTCTACTCTATAGAAGAGAATTGTTCCTCGGCTGTCGTCGTTGTCGTTGTCGCGAAACGCGCACCATGTTATTATTGAGTGTTCACTATAGAAACTATTTATGAAAACATTTCCATTAGCACTGAAGAGTACGTGCATTTGTAAAGGGTGGAAATAAAGTGGAAACGAACTAAATGCTATGGAAAAAGAGTCGAACACCAATGTAAAGCATAGGAAATCAATTAGTGAATGTTAGCAAGCCTGGTGCGGATACATTACGATACGTTATATCCGGTTTCGTTCGAGGATTCGTTGCTTGACGAACAATACAAAGCTGACTGACGCCACCGACAGCGTTGAGCGCATAGAAAACAACTCCATTTGTCGTTGAAAAGCTTCGAACAAACATTGAGAGGAGAGAGAGTGCTTGCCTTCAGCGTGATACGATTGATAATCACTGCTGAGACGACTAAGGGGCTAATTTGTTGTCACTGGAACGAACCGATGTGATAATGATAAGCTTAAAACATCACTTTCATAAAACATCTGTTTCAATGCCACAATCATGAGAGAAGGAATGATTTGAAAAAAAAGGCAAGCTTATTCTAAACCTCAGCGAAGGAAGTAAACTTTCATGCAAAAGCCAAAAAAAGCCTAT